CCCCCCCCAATTGTATGGGTATGGGCTGTTGGCTCAATGCAGCATTCATTAGGAAATCTATGGAAACTGACGCTGATCAGATTAAACGTTTCACTATCCGACTCACTATATATCCATCTGGCTTCTAGGAATTAGAAATAATTGCATATTCATTTTGGGGGGGGGGGGGGGGGGGTGGTTATAACTTAGCTCACCAGGTGGCTTTAACTGTGGTTATGAAGAATTGTGAGCCGTTGGAATCGGGTCCTGAGTTTGCCATGGATACAACACCTGCAAGTTTGGTTTAGATTCAAGGATTAATAAATAATAAGGCCAATTTATACGAATGACATTGCAAGACAAAAAGGTAAAGGAGAAGATATAGCCATTGGCAAAGATATCTAGCATCCTAGCAATTACAAGATATAATGTTCCAAGCAAAGGATAACACTAGTAGCAAACCTATGATTACTCTATGCAGATCATACAGGACAATACCAGACTAGTCAAAACGATAAAGTTAGGGAACCTGGATGAGTGTGTTTTATCCTGAAATTCTCATCAGGAAACATGCCACCATAAATAGATTCACTTCCTCTTCCATCCCCATAAACAGTATCTCCACCTTGGATCATGAACCCAGGGATTATACGATGAAATGGTGTTCCCTTGTAGTGTAAATCTTTTCCATTGGCACCCTTTCCCTTCTCCCCTGCACTTTCAAATGGAGAGTTAATAAAAGGCTTGCCCCAATACAGAAAATTAGAAATGCAAGACGTAAGGACATAACTTTTGCAACAAATCAAGATCCAAATCATTTAACCATAAAAAAAAAAAACAAAACGATTGAAAGAATCAGTAAGACATGCCCCCTCCCCAGTACCTGTACATAAAGCTCTGAAATTTTCTGCAAAACCAGAAAAACTATACGTCAAGAAACAGAATGATACGAAAGCATATAAAAAAGAGAAATTCAATATTTTATTGCAAATATATCTAACCTAATTCACCTTAATTTAAACATTTATAAATTCTTGTAGCATCAGCCCAGAACAATCTGGGGAGGGGGATTATTTATATATTTATAAATTCTTGATACTAATGGAAATGTCACCCCCCCCCCCCCCCAAGAAAAAAAGGGATTAACTGACTAGCTAAATAATTCTTTTTCTACTTAAGATCGACTTCATTTCAGATTTTGGTCCTTAAATATATGCCAGGAGTTCAGGGCCATGGTTGGAACTGGAATTGGAAAATGTTGGATTTCCATACTATTATATGCTTTACAATCATTGTTTCTGGCCACTTGCCTTGCACCTAAGCCAACATGAATGGTTGTCATCACATACAATATGTCTATAACTCAATGAGTTGCAGAAGATATTCTCTTTGATACAAGACAGCCCAATATCATTAACTTAAACAATCATATCTGTAGCCTTTTATATTGAAAGAGTCTGGCTAAAGTCATACTGGTTTTGCCAAAACATCAAAATCTTGAATGAGCAATGTCTTTCTAAATGAAGAATTTCTTGACAATTATTCTTTAATATTGTATGCAAGTTCAAATATTATTCCATCTCAAAAGGTTCTTGTGCAGCATACAACAATAAAATGTAAGTTGCTCATGTAGAACTACAAATGGATGCATAAACCATACCAAATTGCATTTGAATGAAAATAGAATTAATTCATATAAATGTGGATAATATTTTAGCTTCCCTTGCATGTATCAATCAAATGTTTCCTTTTATAAAAGAACTCTCTAGACAACTTTCTGAAAGGATGACAAGTTACCATTCCAGGTCATTCTCAGGCAAACCTGGCTAAAAATCCTTGGGCAAAATAACCAAATCAGAGGACCTTCAGAAGGTGATCGGGACAGAATGTACAAACCAAATAGATATTCTTTATTTCGATGTTGTGTAAAGAAATTTGAATATCAACCCAAAAACAATCATCAAACCCTTGAGCTGATTAATTGCCAAATCAAAGAGGTTAGGATCTTGGCACCAAGAATGCAGAGTAGATTCAGAAGGATTACAATTTAGGCAAGCTCAGTAGCAGATGATGCCAAGGAGGGGCCAACTGTACTTGGGAATTGAGTTAAGGGTTTCCTTGGTTCCTTACTCATTATCTTCTATCCTTTCAATTTTTGGGAGAAGGGCCTTGTACTTCTGATTCCATCAATTTGTAATTAATAAAAAAATTTAGTTATTGACCAAAAAGAAAGACTTAAAGTACCAAGAGGAGATTAATATAAAAACATTGTTGAAGGAATTTTCAATTCCAATACAAAAGTAGGACAGAAGATCAAAACATACCAACAGCTTTTGGTACAACCTGGCCATACAGCCCAATAACTATTCTACCTGCAAAAGATGGAATTGCAAATTTTAAAGTACATGTCACATAAAAAAGTGGAGCATTAAGATACTACAAGTAATAGTTAAGAAACTAGTATTAGAATATTAGGTCATTTATTTCATTTGAAGGTGCCAGCTACCTACTGGCATCATTAGCCAAATTTGATACCTAATGCATCATAAAGATGATTAAAAATAAGAACTTTGTCTGTTTCTCAACTGAAACAAGACAATGGAGGAAAAGTGTGTGAAAAATGACAAATGAGATAAGGAAGGATTAAAGGTAGAAGCATTGAAAGAAAACAACCCAGGTCAAATTTTTCTTCACACAGATATTATGGGCTCAAATGCAAGATAGAAATAAATAATCTAAAAACACCAGAAACACTTAGAAAATAATTTAACAATCCCATGTAAACAAAATTAAATTCTGACCTTGATCTCTCTCCTAAATAAGAACCTTAATGCACGAATTTCCAGGCTGATTGGTACCAAGTCATTGGATGGTTCATGTCATGATTTGCAATATCTCCTGAACTTGCCAATATTTCCCATGAAAGTTCATATTTTAGGAACATTTGTGCCAAAATATTTCATACGTTGATGTTGGATAATGGATATTATGAGCAAAAAGATATTAAAAAATTAGCATGGATGTTGTCCTACATAACTACAATTAGTACTTTTGTCCCCCCATCTCGTAATACTCACTGTATGTGAGTATTATTATAGTATTAACCATCCCTATAAAAGATTTTCTGTAGTTGCAGTGCAAGATTTCATTCTCGAGGATGTAATAGCATGGTCAAAAATGTAATAGCATTTTTTCCTTTTTCTTTATAAGGAGATGTTCCATTTATCCGTCATATAGATTTAATACATTTTTTTTTGTCATTTCCAGTAGTAACTTTCAGTAATTAAAAAATATATATATAAACAGAAAAGAATTTTGAAGATGTGAGGATAAATATATGGTGAATTTTAGAATTTGTGATATAAACAAAATAATCCTAGGATAAGAAATTTCAAATCACTCGACTTAAGAAAAAAACTGACCTATAAACAATCGAGGACAAATTGCAAGTTATTCACAAAAGAAAATGAAATGGAATTTTATGTCATGAAATTCATTCTATCTCGCAAAGTAGAAGCATCATACCAATACGCTGGTCATCAATATCAACATCCAAATATACTCTATGAGTAATTTCGTGAACCTCTTCCAATATTTCTTCATCCTAAAATGCAAAGAATTGTAATGCATAAGGGTATTGCAGAAAAGAACTACAGGTAAAATTTACAACATAAGCACTCTCGGTGCTTAGAGAACAACCAACCAAGCAAATGAATACGAAACAATTCCTAGCATGCTTTTCCCATAAAAAAAAAATACAAACATGGTTGTCATTGCGACGCCTAGGTTGTATTTTTTTTAAAATGCACAGCACAAATAGGTTTGAAACCAGTCCATCAAAAATACAATCGTAGAAGAATGTCCTTAGACATAATCTCTTTTTAAAGCATGCAAAAGTACTCTTTTCCCCTTCCAAATCACAATGAAGTTTAAATTTGAACAAGAATCAACCGAAGAACCACATAAATACCTCTATTTAGTATATAATAATTAAATTGGAACGAAGGGTTTCTTCATACAATCAAGGATCAAATAATTTTGTGAGTTCAAAATTACTCCCAACCCCGTCCGTCAAGTTCACAAATAGATCGAAACGTATCTTGGTAAGCTGAATCCCAAGCTAAGAAAACCTACCCGGTGAGAAGGTAGAAAAGCAAGAACAACGATAATGACAGCAACGAGCAACAAAAAAAGGAATCGGAGATGGAAACACATTGTTCTTGCTTCTTCCTACTCCACAATCTCTTCTTCCTGGGTCCATGATAGTCTCTCTTGTCCACTCGGTCTCACCATTTCCCTCGCTCGCTATCTGCAGGTCTTTACAATTCCATCAGTTGCTTCTCTCCTCTTTCTCAGCAGACTCAACTCACATGCTCTTTTAGCGCTCTGAATCGGTAATGTAAATGGCCGCTCCTTCTTTCTTTCTTTCTGCTGGCTATGAAAGCGTTGAAGAAATTCGTGGTAAAATTAGGTAAATCAAATCTTTACCACAGGTCCACAGCGCTCTAAACGGTAAAATGCGTCCATGATTTCGGTATTTTTCTTGGTAATCCCAGTGTTTTATAACCGACCCGGTCAACCGGAGGTCAAATTGCTTCTCTCTCTTGGTGACGGTTTTTAACGACTCTGTGCCCAATTATCCAACATGCGTAGATAGGTGTGGTGTCGTGTCGTTGCTGAATTTCAGATTTCTCCTAAATCATTGATTTTTAAAATCATTCATCTCTCATAACAGAGAAATTGTTTGTTTTGGTATCATTGATAGCATGCCATTCGATTTTTAAGAAATGAGGATCCATTTGGTTCCAGTCCGAACGGGAATCAAAATCCTTAGTAATCAGAATTGGAATGGTCCATTCCAATAAGGCCATAATCTTAATCTGTTGGTTCAGACAGGAATAAGAATGGAAATGGAATTTACATCTCCGCCCCATAACTCATTAGTGCCACATGGACAAAAAAAAAGGAGAAAATAATTTCTCCAATATAATTTTATAAGAAATTTCAGGTTGATTTTTTCTCATGAAGTTGCTTGTACATAATCCAAAGTATAAGCATTATTTGAAACTTTTGAAAACCACTTGAATAACAATGAACCAAATGAAAGAAGAAGAAGAAGAAGAGAAAACACTTACATGGCATAGATAAACGACATTGATACCAATTACCAAATACATATTTAGTGTTTCATCAACTAAACTGTAGAATTAGGGTTGCCAATAGATTGGATGTTGGATATATATATATATATATATATATATATATATATATATATATTATATTCAGTATAGATCTGTCATCACTACAGCAAGAAAGATTGTCCAACCTTAACCCGATTGGGTTAGGTAAATGCAAATGTACCACTTAATTGGACCCATGACATCTAGGTTCCGTTCATTTTTCTGTAAGTTATTTATTTGGGAAGTTTTTATCGTTAAATACTTACAAATGTAAGTGTATTTATCCATGTTCTTTTATTTTTCAAGTAAAAAAGGCAATGACCATTTTAACCATAAAAATTCATTATTAAAAAGGGCATTTTTGTCCCATTCAAGTGTTGACAACTTTTCTCCCTATGGGAAAGTTATTTATCCACCTAGGTAAGTGATACCTATGAAAATAAACTTTTCCTGGTTCTCACATTAATCTAAAAAATAAACATGAGATTCTTGGTCAACGGGAATCAAAATCCTATTCATTAATTTCCCCCTCTCAAAATAAAAAAAAAAAAACAACCCCCCTAAAAAGACATCTAAATTTGAAAATCACAATTTTCCTATTGAGAGATTTTCACTTGTGCAACTTGTGTTGAGAAATTATTAGATTTTAGTTTGAGGCTGAACAAAGAATGTTTACTGTTTACACCCTTTTTTCTTTATGCGTCAAGGCAAATTTTACAAAACTTTTGTACATTTTGAGTGATCGTATCAAATAAAAAAAATGGGTAATCTCCACTCGATGAGCAGCTGAACTACGCAAACAAGTATATAATAAATCTGCAGTGAACACAGGAGAGAGAGAGATTAGGTTTAAAAACTACTTATTGGCAAAAGATCTATACCATTAAACTAGAGCCTCAAACTCAGCAAAGCCATTGGATCAGTCTTAGAAATCCAACCAACGATCAAAGTTTAAAGGGTAAATTTTTTAAACTATCCTTATGGTTTAGTGAATTGATTAAGTATATTCTTATTGTTTGAAAATTGACTAATGCTATTCGCCTATCCCCTACTTTTTCTGACAATTGACTAATACATTCTTTGTACGTTAATAAAATGATTAAAAAAACTATTTTTTCATCATTCTTTTAAACTTTCAAAATAAAACTTTTGACACCTTTTTCAAATTGCCAAGGCTTATCTCCATACTCAAATCTACCTCGGAAAATTTTATAGATTAATCTGTACCCAAAAAAAAAATTCATTAGAGTAATCTTTGATCAACAGAAAAAGATGATTTACCAAAACCAAAAGAACGCGAGTCAGATTAGGTATCTTTTACTCGGTTTGAGTTTGGGGCCGATTTCAGTCTTCTGGTTCGATTAGATGATGCTAACAGGCATATAGGACCCAAAAAACCCAAATTTATTTTGGTTCTCTCGACTCAAATCTCAGATCTATGATACATGTTCCAGATATGCAACAAGAAAACTAATGGGTTTTGAATATTTATGATCCATATCCCCGTCATAATTTTCTTCCACGGAGGTAGCTTCCCACACTCGTCCGCCAACGGTGCCATCTACGACACACTCTGCTGCCGGCTTGTGGGTATCTGCAACGCCGTCGTGGTGTCTGTCAACTATTGTCGCTCTCCAGAGAACCGATATCCTTGTGCTTATGAGGATGGGTGGGCAGCTCTCAAATGGGTTAACTCCAGGCCTTGGCTTCAGAGCGAGAAGGAGTCCAAAGTTCACATTTACTTGGTCGGAGACAGTTCAGGGGGTCCATCTTCCAGATATGCAACCAGAGATGGCACCAAGAAAACTAATGGGTTTTGAAGATGTAGAGGTCGTCCCCGTCATAATTTTCTTCCACTGTGGTAGCTCCGCACACTCGTCCGCTAACAGTTCCATCTACGATACACTCTGCCGCCGGCTTGTGGGCATCTGCAACGTCGTCGTGGTGTCTGTCAACTATCGTTGCTCGCCAGAGAACCGGTATCCATGTACTTATGAGGATGGGTGGTTAGCTCTCAAATGGGTTAACTCTAGGCCTTGGCTTCAGAGCGGGAAGGAGTCCAAAGTTCACATTTACTTGGCCGGAGACAGTTTAGTGGACAACATTGTTCACCACGTCGCACTGAAAGCAAGGGAATCAGGCATCCAAGTAATGGCGGCGAACCGCTCTGCTTTTTCGTCTTTTTCTTGCTCAGAATTGCTCAGAATGAAGTCGTCGTCGTTGTCACTCGATTCATTGTCGGAGCTGATATCTCCACTCTTCTGCCTTGCAGTTGCAGAAGTGAAGTCAACCCAGTTTAAAAAGAAGAATGTATGGGCATGGGGTAGGGGGCAGCAGGGGCACTGTGGTCGAGTCGACTCCTCTTTCCATCATTCTGTGTGGTAGACAATATAATTGGGGCTTGCTCCTTTGTTTTTAAGTCTGATATCTGAAAGTGCAATAATTATATTAAGAAGTATATTGGTATTTGTGACTTTTTTTTTCCATTGAACTCTGAATGTTGTTTTGAATTATGAATTCATTTTGATTTTACTTTTGAGAGTTTTTATTTATCTTTTTGGAGAGAATCATTGAAAAATAAAAATTATATGATTGCATTTTAAAAGATAAGAGAAAAGGAATAACTATTTTTCTCTTAAATTAAAATATTACTCTTAAGAGATAAGAGTTAAAAGAGAAAACAAACTAGTCTTATGTTTCTCTCCCATGTATTATTTGTACGTGCACGAGGAAAATAAGTAGAGAAAGAGGTATCGAGAGAGCTATCATTGTTGCGTGTAATCCCAATATCGATTGCTATAGTCGGAATGATTGCTCTAGCTAACAAAGGAATTCTTTGGAAAATCAACCGATTATTGCAGTTGGAACTACATCCGATGCGACCCTTCAGAACTGAAAGCCTCCTCTGCGGTTTACACTCGAGGATCCAAGAACGAATTGGATTCTCTCATCAATGCCTGTCAAAACAAGAACATCATGGGTGGATAAAAAACAGAACATTGATGCAGATGCTGGTGTCGAAGTTATAACAAAGGTAAATTGGGTATTTTTAAAAGTTATAATACACAAATGGTAAAAAAAGTATTAGTCAATTGTGTAGGGATAGCGTTAGTGAATTAATTAAACTATAAGGGTAGTTTAATAAATTTACACAAGTTTAAAAAATCCGGTCCGTGGAGACGTGGGATAATTTGAGGGGCTTATCGAATGGTCACTGATGGAAATAAATTCAAAACTCAGGTGGATTGCTTTTTAATTTCCATTGGGGATTCACAAAGGATCGCAGCGGATGTGGTGGAACATAAAATCATTTGTGGCGTCTCTTCTTAAGTGTTTTTCGCAGTGAGGCAAGAGAGGTTTTTCTTTCATCCTATTTCTCCGCATCAAAGACTGTTGCCTCTGGGGCTGACCTGAATCTTTTATAGAAAAGAGGGAGATAAGAAGTGATGGAATCAGCAGGTGCAGAGGAAATAAGGAACCCCCTCAGTAAGATCCCTCTTCCTTTTCTTCTGTTATTGTTCTCTTCTTCTGTAAGTGAGAAGCAAACGTATATTTTTGGTTACATATAAACGTGCAGTTCCAAGGAAAGGAAACAAGGATTCCAGCTCGAGCGCACCATGCTCGGAAGAGGAACAACGAAACTCCTTGGATTTCGGTGTCGACAATTCTCCCATCGAGCAGGTAGCTTTGACAGTACCGATCACCGACGACCCCACCCTCCCCATTTTGACCTTCCGGATGTGGGTTTTGGGAACACTAGCATGTGCGCTGCTGTCGTTCCTCAATCAATTCTTCTGGTACAGAAAGGAGCCATTGTCGATCACGTCGATATCAGCACAGATAGCCGTGGTGCCGCTTGGACACCTGATGGCATCAACCATCACGGATCGGGTGTTCTTCAAGAAGAGCCGATGGGAATTTACACTGAATCCCGGGCCATTCAATATTAAGGAGCACGTACTGATTACAATCTTTGCCAACTCGGGAGCAGGGAATGTTTACGCTATTCACATCGTCAGTGCTGTTAAACTCTTCTACAAGAAGAATCTCACCTTCCTCGTTTCCTTGCTCGTTGTCATAACCTCACAGGTGTCTCTCTTCTTCTTTCAATCTCTGAAGTTCAAATTCAATCTCTTTCTTCTCTCAGCTCTTGAATATGGTATATAGGTTTTGGGGTTTGGGTGGGCGGGGTTGTTTCGACGGTACCTGGTGGAGCCGGCGGCGATGTGGTGGCCGCATAATCTAGTTCAGGTATCTCTCTTCAGGTATGTCTTCTGTGTACCGTGTAAATTCTCTTCAGACCAGCCTCCAATTCCGTAAGTTGACTTTCGCTCTTGTCAGATAGAAGGAGCTCCACTTAAAACCAATTCACTCAAAGGTAGAAAGTTTTTCAAAATTAAGGAGACGTGGCTTTATCGCCGACCGTGAATCGGACGTTTTCCTCTTTTTAAAGGAGCAATGGCTTTAGATCATCATATCACCATGCTCGTCCAGGTCTCCTGGGCTGGATGACTAGATCTGGATCTGGATCTGGATCTGCTGTATATGGAACCAGGTAAGATACCTGATAGCTACCTCCCCCATCGGACCCAAGAACACGTCCACATACAATAAAGGGCGGAGGATGTCCTTATACAAAGCAAAACCTTTTACCCACATGCTGACAACTAACCACACTCCTCAGTCAGTCAGTTGTCCCAGTTGTCCTGCGTATATAATGATCAATAAATTACTTGAAAGTAATGTTGCTCTAGCATCACGGGCACTATCCGTCACAAGATGCCAAATGGCAAGACGAAAAAAAAAAGAAGGAAGTTTTAGCGGTTTTACTTTTACCTCTTGTCCGTCACGGTGGCATTCCCATCGATGGCTTTTATATGCTGTATCTACACTGTAATTCCACCTCCCGTGAATGCACATGTTCATCATCATCATCAAAATTCTATTTCAACGGCTGTAAATTGTAATATGAAATGTTACACAAAAAAAAAAAAATCACAGGGCATTGCATGAGAAGGAGCAGAAGCCCAAAGGTGGATTGACACGGAACCAATTCTTCCTTGTAGCCTTCATGTGCAGCTTCGCTTACTATGTCTTCCCCGGCTATCTCTTCCCCATGCTCACCTCCCTCTCCTGGATATGTTGGATATTCCCCGCTTCCATCTTGGCCCAACAGTTAGGTTCAGGACTCCATGGGCTGGGGCTTGGGGCCTTGGGTTTTGATTGGTCCAGCATCTCCTCCTACCTTGGGAGCCCACTCGCTAGTCCATGGTTTGCTACCGCCAACGTTGCTATGGGCTTCGTCCTCATTACATATGTCATCACTCCAATTGCTTACTGGCTCAATCTTTACAAGTCCAAGAGCTTCCCCGTATTTTCTGATAACCTATTCACATCTACGGGCCAAAGATATAACATCTCAGCTATCATAGATCCCAATTTTCAGCTTGATATCAAAGCATACGAGCGCGAGGGGCCTCTATATCTCAGCGCTTTCTTCACAATGACTTATGGCGTTGGCTTTGCCTGTCTCACTGCCACAGTTGTCCATGTCTTCCTCTTTCATGGGAGGTAACTAATTAGTTTTAATATTCTCAAACAGAATCAACCCCTCCAATAGCTTTTATAGCATCTTTGCTTATAATAAATACATGGATGATGCAGAGAAATATGGCAACTGAGCAAGTCAGCTTTCCAAGAGCAGGGGATGGACATCCACACCAGACTCATGATGAAGTACAAACAAGTCCCGCAGTGGTGGTTCATATGCCTTCTCTGCCTAAACATTGCTGCCACAATCTTCACTTGTCAATACTACAATGATCAGCTTCAGCTACCATGGTGGGGAGTCTTATTAGCATGCGCCCTCGCCATTTTCTTTACTCTTCCCATTGGAGTCATCACTGCAACCACAAACCAGGTTGAATTTACAACACAGTGTATTCTTGTTTTTGATTGCTGCAGTTGACAACCTTGTGGTTCTCTGACTTTGTTTATACTGTAACTCTCTGGACAGACACCAGCCTTAAATGTCATTACAGAGTATATAATTGGGTATCTGTACCCTGGACGTCCAGTGGCCAATATATGCTTTAAGGTCTATGGGAACATCAGCATGAAACAGGGGATCACATTCTTACAAGACTTCAAGCTTGGGCATTACATGAAGATTCCACCACGAGACATGTTTATGGCGCAGGTTGGTTTTGTCTTGCACTAAATTTCTCTGTAAAATGGACAGAAAATTTTCCATACGGCTGATACTTCAGGCTTCAGCCATATATTTATTTTAGCATCTCTTACAGAGAAAGCTTTGTTTATCACTCCATTTATGGTGAAAGTTTTGTTTTCTGCTCCTACTTTGCTTTAATCTGATGCAAAAGGAAAATGGCAATAAAAAGTGAAAAACAGTTTAACACTCTCAGTTTTACTAAGTTCAGACGTCTGTTTTATTTTTTTCTTATTTTAAAGTTGAACTACATGATCAGGTTGTGGGAACTCTAGTCTCTGCAGTGGTACACTTGGGAACAGCATGGTGGCTAATGGGTTCCATTCCAAACATTTGTGACAGAGCCCTACTTCCAGCCGGCAGCCCATGGACCTGCCCGAGCGACCATGTATTCTACGATGCTTCGGTCATTTGGGGCCTGATAGGGCCACGCAGAATTTTTGGAGATCTTGGTCACTACTCAGCCATCAACTGGTTCTTCTTAGTCGGTGCCGTTGCTCCTATATTAGTTTGGGTTGCACACAAGGCCTTCCCTCACAGGCATTGGATTAAGCTCATTACCATGCCGGTTCTCCTAGGTGCCACCGCCAGCATGCCTCCGGCCACGGCCGTCAACTACACCAGTTGGATCGTAATAGGATTCGTCTCGGGCTTTATTGTATACCGGTACCACCGTGACTGGTGGCGACGGCACAACTATGTGCTTTCTGGCGCACTTGATGCAGGACTGGCCTTCATGGGGGTCTTGTTGTATTTGTGCTTGGGGATGGACCACGTTAGCCTCGATTGGTGGGGAAGCAACCTTGATGGCTGCCCCTTGGCCTCTTGCCCCACGCAGAAAGGAATTGAAGTCCACGGCTGTCCAGTTTTCTGATTCGATCGAAATTTCCCCAACAAATTAGTTTTTTTTTTTTTTTGTTTGACTTCAACTTCCTCTGTTAATTCTGTGTGGTCAACATTCATTGGTGTAAGATTGTAAATGATTTGTTACAATGATTTCTTTTGAATGTTTATGTCAGCATATTTCTTTTCTTTTCTTTTCCTCTCAATCGGCAATTTTCAAATAAACTACAATCCAGTATATTAGAAATAGCCTTTCAAATTTCAATCAATCTCTGGGGGGGGGGGGGTTGGCATTCAATTACTGAGTGATAAGTAACTTTGTAAGTACTTTCTTCAGATTTACATGGTGGGACCTGATACAAAATCTGCACATAACTGCAAATTTTGCATCTCAATATTAATACAAATTACTTTTTTATTTTTTATGTATAAAATGAGGATTACATTATTTTACTTTCAATTTCATTTCCCCTGCACAGTGAAACCCAAAAACAAAGAGTAGCCAAAATTTGCATAGTAAACAAACATATGAACTGTTTTCAGAAACCCTTACAAGTTACAACAGCAGTGAATTAACCAACGGTGAATTGGGAGATGCTGAAGAGAGAGTGATGTCAATCCCCTAAGGTCTCCTTGGGTGTTTTTGAGCCATGCATACAAGTCAGAAACATATATAAACATTAGAAAATAGAAATGGATTGGTGTTAGGCATTAAGTAAATGGAAAATTTGTGAACGTTGAGAGAGAGCACCCATTGGATCACCACTGTTTAGATTCGTAGGCTTTGTATTTATCCATTGTTAGATATTTTTTTGCAAGCATTTTATCTTTTTTTTTTTATTTGGATAGAATCTCCTTAGGTGTTATGTTAAGAAGATAAGATCGAGTGAAGTTAAATAGCTAGAGACACACAGCAGAAAACAAGTTAGTTTATCCTGCTCACCATGTTTGAAGAGTCATATATATATAGTTATAGAATATCTTATATTGTGTTGTTGACCCTTTATTGTGGTGTTGCTATCATAGCATGTAAAACTGAGGGAAGTGACAAGTCCGTCGATTAGTTACGATATTGGCTTTCAAATAATCATTGTCCGTTCATAGGGGTGGATTCAAGCCGAGCTAAGTGAAATAGTACTAGGTTCGAGTTCAGCTCGAGACTATTCTACAAGGTTCGAGCTCAGAACCTTGAGCTCGAGTCAAAATTATCACGTGTCAGATTTAAATGCAAAAATTATCGTTGTTATTTGCAATGATCATCTTCTCTGCTGTCTATCTGTATTCTCTTTCCTTTTTCTTGTTTCATTTTAAAAATTTAAAGAAAAATAATGAATAAAATAATATTTTTGTCTTTCTATTAATGAGCGTTAATGACAAAAAGGTTTAAACAATTACCAAAAAAACTTAAAGATAGTCTAAAACCATATGTAAATAATAAGAGTAGAACCATTAACTAAACCATAAAGCTATTTAGAAAAATTGCCTGTTTCTAAATTCTACTTGTAATACGACTTTGCATGCTAGTTAAATTTTCTGCCTCTATATCATTATATGGCCATTGGCCGTCCATAGGGGTGGATTCGAGCCGAGCTAAGTCGAATAGTACCAGGTTCGAGTTTGGTTCGAGACTATTCTATAAGGTTTGAGTTCGAGCTCGAGCTCGAGCTCGGTTTGAGCCATAACCTTGAGCTCAAACTCGGGTAGAGTCGAAAGTTTATAAGCTCGAGCACGTTCGTTTTAAATTTTCTAAAAATATTTTATAAAAATAAAAATCATATATAATATTTTTTTATTTTATATTTAAAAATTATAATATTTTTATTATATATATTATTTTCTATAATTTTATTATTATTATTATTATTATTATTATTATTATTATTATTATTATTATTATTATTATTATTATTATATATTCAAGCTGGTTCGCAAGCTTTACGAGCCGAGCTCTAATAGGCTCGAGCTTAGCTCGTTTAATAATCGAACTACTGTATTGAGCTCAAGCTCGAGCTCGGTTGAAACCGAGCCGAGCCGAGCTTTTCACGAACTGAGCTCGAACAACTCGTAAAAAGCTCGGCTCGTTGCCACCCCTAGCCGTCCATCATCCATCCACATGGGCTGGACTTGACTTGTTCATCAACTCTTGTTTGATTAGAAATCTTACAAAACATGGATGAGTCGTGGTGTTGTTGGGTGTGGGTCCAACCCATATGGAGGGGCCCACCCCACCTTTATTTGCTCCCTAAAAAAAAGGGAGCCGAATAGTGGTAGAAAGGTTACCACATTTCAGTTCTTTTTCTTGGCGTCAAATTAGTAATCACCGAACAGAGAAGAACGAAGCAGAACAGGAAAAAAACACAGAAACAAAAAAGGTTTTTCTGGTTCTTTGAGTTTTGTGAAGAAGATGAAAAAGTTGGCTCTTGTTCCATTCAAGATCAAGTTCGGAGGTGCCTTTCAAGCCCGTTCTTGGAGTTAAGAATCCCACTCTAGTTCAGATTTGGTGAATCTTCTTCTTTTTCTCTACTTTTCAATTCAAATTTATAGCAACTTGGTGAGATCTAAACTTATGTTTGTGTTGTATCCACCTTGCATTTGGTGATGTTAATGTTGTTCTTGTGAGCCAAGGATTATTTCCTTGATGTTTATAAGCCTCTAGTTGCAATTGGAGAAGACTATTGTACCCATTAATTTCTGAATTAGTGGAAGACTTTTACGAACCACAAGTCCCGTGGTTTTTCCCTGATTTTGGGGTTTTCCACGTAAAAATTCTGGTGTGCTATTGTGTGGTGATTGTTATTTGTTTTTCTGTTACTTGGCTGAATTGTTTACTTGTTATTATTGTTGTTGGTAAACCCATTTTGACACACAAATTTGGGAGAAAGGTTCTTACTGTCCTGGGATTGGTTTTACATTCATTTCTGCTACTATAGTGTAACTTGCCCAACAGGTGTGACGTTTTGAATTAATTGGAACATTAGTAATTTGGGGAATTCACATCTGCATGCGCCCCACATACACATCGTACCATATATTGAGAACATCTCATGTACTCGTTATTGTAGATGTTCTTAATACACGATAGGGATATGCTGTAAGGCATAGATGCGATCTGTAATTGGGAAACAACCTGTTTCATAGCATACAAAACCTGTCTTGTTTATCCACCTGATGGCCTAACCTGCACCCGTGGAATTTTATGATACCTGAAATGGTTCATTCTCTGCCTCTTCATTCTTCAATTTCAATACTGTGTTTGAGTAGGATACGGATGTAGTAGATATGTTAGGTAAATACAATGAGTGAGCATGTAATAGCTGTATGATATATGTCCTAGTTAATGTGTCTTTCATCCAAATGTTTTTGTTTGACGAAAATTATCCATTATTTTTTTATCTTTATCAAAATAATTAAAAATAAAAACAATATAAAAGAAAAACCTAATTAGGACTCATTTACGTTTTCCTTTTTAATTGTTTTTTATTTTTAATTATTTTGACAAAAATAATAATTAATTTTCGTCTAATAGAACAAAAACTTTAGATGAAAGGCACATTAACTAAAACATGTCACACAACTATTACATACTCACTCATTATGCTTAACTAACGTGCATATTACATCCGAATCCGTTTGAGTACCCGATGAGACTTGGACCTTAGCTGAACTTATAGCTAGAAAGGCATCCTCGCCCTCGCCCTCAAATTAATGTCCATCATTTTATTTCTGTTTTTTCAACTTTTTCCATAGCGGATGTTGGGAAGTTGAGAAGAGAATCGCCAAAACAGATTTTCCATCTTCCACGGTAAATCTCTCTTCTTCGTCGGGCCAAGTTGTTCCCTATCGTGCTCACTCGGTAAATCTTTCCTAAATCCTAATTATTCTTCTTTCATGGCCAAATCAAACCAAACCAGAGAAAGAGAGAGAAGGGATTTGAAGCTTATATGTGCATAGTTACGATTGAGAGAGAGGGAGAGAAGAGAAAGAAAAAAGAGAAGAGAAACAAACAAACATTCTACTGTCAAATTATCAATAGACTATACAGATAAAAGAGAGCTTCATTCAATAATTAGCAGAAAATGGAAAGGATACAGAATGCATGTACTTCAGATCAGAACCAGAACCAGCAGAAGAAAACAGAAGCGACTCCACATGGGGTTTCCAGGAGTTTACTATCAGTAGTCAATACAGTTGTCATCTGATAACAACCCACGTCTGTCTCTTTTGTTTAAAGTCTAAACACAAAGTTCAACCCGTATTCCTTTTTAAAAATGATTAGTTTAAGATAAGGGATTAATTCATTGGTTTTACTAACCATTATTATATTAGAGAAGTTGGGCTTTTTCTTGCCACAAGCAATTAAACTGGAAATCCTTTTTAAAACGGGTTAAGGTGGCAAAGTTCATCCGCAGATTTCATTCCATCTTTAGCAAGCAGATTCAAATTGCCATTCGCCAGTTTCTCTCGACCATCGTAGCGCCTGACGTACATCCTTTATTTTGGGCTTACTAACATTTTCGTCCTCAATTTTAAAATGCGATAATTTACTATCCGAATTTTTAAAGTCTATCAGTTTAATACCTATTATTACCCAGCTCTTAATAAGCTGTTAAGTGGCATTTGGAAAAATACAAATGTCTTTGGAGTGTGATCTGATTCTCGTTATCATTCATTAAAACATAGACAAAAAATGAACAGATCCATATTCTAAACTTTTCACTCAAAAAAGTTGGGGTCACACCTTCCATCCAAAAAATGTGCATTCGTATTTCAATAGGCATTCTGATGACCCCAACTTTGTTTAATAGAAAATGCAATAATTTGAGATTGTTCATTTTTTTATTAATATTTGGATTATTGATAAAGAAAATTAGATGACATTCAAAGGGAATTTGTGTCTTTTTCAAATGCCACTTAACGGTTAGTTAATAATTTATTAAGGATGATTATTAAATTCACACACTTTGAAAGTTTAAATACTGAATTGTCGCATTTTAAAGTTCGAGAACCAAAGTGGCACTAGGCCCAAAATACAAGGTACTCAGAAGAAAATTTCCCTTTTTTTATTTACATAATCATTTAATCAACAACAACTACTACTACTACTACTAATTATTATTATTATTATTATTATTATACTGAATTGTCGCATTTTAAAGTTCGAGAACCAAAGTGGCACTAGGCCCAAAATATAAGGTATTAATAAGGAAATTTCCCTTTTTTTATTTACATAATCATTTAATCAACAACAACAACTACTACTACTAATTATTATTATTATTATTATTATTAGGGTAAAATATAAAAACCTCCCCTAGGGTTTCTGACAATCATAAAAATCTCCCCTCAAGTTTTACTTCAACAAAAACCTCCATTGAAATTTTGGATAAGCCAACACAAACCTCCCTTGTTTTTTGCAACGGAACCAGTGCACCATTGCTATTCATTTTGTTTTTTTTTTTTTCTCTTCCTCCGCTTTTTTACCCCACTCTCATTCCAATGGTGATGCAACCAAGGCCTCTTGATCACCCACCCACAAAAAAGATCGGTGATACTCAGAAAAATAAACTTTACTTAATTCCCATATAAATTTGAAAAAATAACATGAGATTCTTGATCATTAGGAACCAACTTTCTCCCCTCTCTCAAAATCCAAAAAAAAATAAATCTAGTACAAGGTCCCAAAAAGCAAAAGAGAATTAGGGCTACATTGTTACGAGATCTGTTAGCATAACTTAGATAGTCAGATTCCACTGTAACAAAAAAACTTTTCAAATCCTTCCAGAACCTTGAAATCATTAATAAAAACCAATGCCTCAGCTTATAGAAGAGATGAGCCGTTCTATTTTACCAAAACGAGCTGATAACACGAAACCAAACCCGCCATGTCTCAGAACTGCACCAATCCTTGTAGACCCCGGTTGAGAAAAATTATTAGTATTATTAATATTAAGATTTAATTCACTCGATTTGAAGCTTTCCAAAAAAAAACAGCATCTTTGAGGTTGAGAAGAATTTAACAATTCTTCCCGGGAGATGATCTGTCTCTCCTTCCACATCCTGTATATTAGGTCAATTGAATCTTCCCTTATTCTTAATCCTCTTATTATTCGATCTGCGATCAAACAACTCTCAAGTCTCTCTGCAACTCCAATCTTGGATACCCCTAACACATGAATCGATCGTGACATGCATGATGACCGTCCGATTAATCACAAAACTCTAAACCTTACTTCCTACCAAACGAAAGTGAAACAGTTTCTTATCTGACGGGTTGTCCCCCTTATCTGATGCGAAACGGAGTGAGCCCAGCGCCCTCATACGGTGGTCGCCGATTGTATCACTTACCACCTGTTTAGATCCAACGACTTCAAATCTAGTGGCTCTGCCTATCTGCAGACTAGCTAGCAATCCGACTCTCTCCATTTGTACATGATTTTGCACGTTGCAACTAGTACTTGCGTTGCTTCCACTGTTTTGCTCAAAAGACGACAATTTTACTTTTCTGCTTATTTTATTTTGTAATTATTTAATACAAAGAAGACAACAACCTTAAAATGCTACATCAAAAGGGCGTATGGCGTAGCTTCTCACCAAAATCAAAAACCACTTCACCGTCAAACACCAGATCATGGTTTCCAAATCCTTCCTAACACCCGGCAAAAGGTTTTTCTTTTAAGAAAGATCACTAGTTTTTTATAGCCAACATTATTAATAAACAAATAATTCCGGCCGTCAAAAACAGGCCGTGCATGTCATCTTCAGCAACAATAGATATCCTCTTCTTTTCTTTAATTAATGAAGCCCCAAACAAACAACATAAATAAGTAGCCTCCATCGGCGTATTCAAAGCACAACTCTTTATACTTCAATTAAAGCTCGCTCTCCTTCTCTCACACGCTCTTGCTCCACGTCTCATTTGTTTCTTTCTGTTGGGATTTGGATTTCTTTGCCATTTGGCCCATATGGGAAGATTCCTCTTTTCTCCGACGTCACCCGCCGGGAAATGGCTGGGATTCGTAACTGCTGTTTGGATTCAGGCCATTTCCGGCAACAATTACACCTTCTCCAACTACTCCGATGCTCTGAAATCTCTTATGGGTCTTACTCAATTGCAGCTTAACAATCTCTCTGTCGCCAAGGATGTCGGGAAGGCCTTTGGTCTCGTCTCTGGTCTTGCTTCAGATCGTCTTCCCACTTCCATCATTTTGCTCATCGGTTCTGTTGAAGGCTTTATAGGTTATGGGGTTCAATGGCTCGTTGTTAGCCAGCGAATTCGGCCTCTTCCTTACTGGCAGGTATTCCCTGCTTTCTCTTTTCTTTTTATTTATTAATAATGTGTCAAGGATTAGGGATTTGCAAGTTCAACTACTGAGTCCTGCAACTAGGCGGATTGAATTATTAGTCTTAATAAGAGCCAGTCATGCATTTCTCATTACCTGCTCTGCTAAATTCTCAGTAGGGTCGATGATTCGGCAAATTTATTAGTTATGCCTTATGTTGGGACATGATGACATGCTCTGCTCGTTGAGACATTTCAATGAACGGCAGAATACTAAGTTGAGTTTGTGTTGCAGATGTGTATATTTCTGTGCATGGGAGGCAACAGCACAACATGGATGAACACGGCAGTGCTGGTCACCTGCATGCGAAACTTTCGGAAGAACAGAGGCCCGGTGTCTGGCATCCTGAAAGGCTACGTCGGACTCAGCACCGCAATCTTCACCGATATATGCACGGCTGTCTTCTCTGCTGATCCTTCGACCTTCATTCTGATGCTCGCCATCATCCCCGCCCTTGTCTGCTTCACCGGGGTCCTCTTCCTCCGTGAGGTCCCAACGTCCGCGGACTCCACCCAGGAGAAAGAAGAAAACCATTACTTCAATATCTTCAACGTAATCGCCATCATTGTAGCTGTTTATCTATTGACCTTCGATGTCACCGGAAGTCACGGGCGGCTTCTTTCGCTAGCCTTCGCCATCGGGCTGCTCATCCTGCTAGCTTCACCATTGGCGGTCCCGTTGTACTCCGCATTCCAGAGTTGGAGAACGAATATGGGATCCAATTCGGGAGATGTTGAACGTCAGATCAAAGAACCATTGCTGGCAGCAGCAGCGAAGCCAGCGCAGACGGTGACGACAGCTATGGTGGAGGAAGTGGAGGTGAGGCCGCCGCCGGTGATCGGAGAAGAACACACGATCGTAGAGGCGATGAAGACGTTGGATTTCTGGATCTTGTTCGTGTCGTTTCTTTGCGGGGTGGGTACGGGGATGGCGGTAATGAACAATATGGGGCAGATGGGGTTGGCACTAGGCTACGCAGACGTTTCCATTTTCGTGTCGCTCATAAGCATTTGGGGGTTTTTCGGTCGTATCATTTCGGGTACGGCCTCAGAGTACTTCATCGAGTACGTAATTCTTCCTCACTTGTGTCTGATTTTTTAGATTTAATCCAAGAAAAAATGTACTAATTTCAGAGAAATTAATCCTGCTTCAGGTTATAAGTTCTAACTATTTTAGTATATGTGTTCAAACTTCAAACTGCAGGAAAGCTGCAACTCCCAGGCCTCTATGGAACGCCTCTTCTCAGATTCTAATGACTATTGGATATGTGCTTTTGGCCATGGCGATGCCAGGATCTCTCTACATTGGATCGGTGGTGGTTGGAATATGCTATGGAGTCCGTCTTGCTGTGACAGTCCCAATCGCTTCTGAACTATTTGGCCTCAAATATTACGGTCTCATGTACAACATCCTTATCCTCAATCTTCCGATCGGTTCCTTCCTCTTCTCTGGCCTGCTCGCTGGTTTCTTGTATGATGCGGAGGCAACCAGCAGTGGCGATGGTGGCAATACGTGCATAGGCGCCCATTGCTACAGACTTGTGTTTGTGGTCATGGCTCTAGCGTGCGTCCTGGGGTTTGTGTTGGATGTGTTCCTCGCAATCAGAACCAGGAATGTTTATTCTAAAATTTATGCCACCAAGAAGTCCCGGAAATCAACTGTGAATCCTGCAGCCATTAAATAAGATGGATTCATTCCTGTATATGATTTTTTTCTTCAACTGAGGAATTTCTGCATCGGGACGGCAAGATGACATATTGCTTCACACTCTGTACTACTAGTTAGTTTGGCACACATGAACCTTACTGTGAGAGCTAGGAAATGATGGGTTTTTTTACCCATTGATCTTCTGGGTCCAACAGGGAGCTGATTGAGTGACTATAACTCTGTAAGTATATGATCCCTAGATTCTTAAACCAATTTTGTGTATCTCGTTTCAATTTTATTTGGAGAATTGAAGGATGTTATTGTCAGGACTGAGGAACATCCATTCAAAGGAACTTGGTAGGATTTGTGGATGGTGAAGCTGTTTGCAGGGGGAATTAGCCCATTCTTTTCTAGTCCGAATGCAGAGTACTACCTTGGTGTATATATATACTTGTAATCGTAAGACGCATCTTTGTTGATATGAGAATTGATTAATGATAGTTTGACGCTAATTAGTTTTGGTCATTCAGAGAAGCAAATTCTTACACCTTGCTCTTATTTCTGTAGCCAGATATTATTAGCTAGGATAGTAAAGGCAAGTATTTGACTTGGAAGATAGTAAGCTGGGTAAGATAAGAAATATTTGTCTGCTTTATCCAGATGATGTTTATTTCTTTCTTTTCTTCTTGGCTCCATCCAACAGCCCGCTGAACAGCGAAAGCGTTCGGTTAAACCTTGCTCAGAAAGAAACCATGAATTAGTTTTGTTTCTCATACAGTTACAGTATAAGTTAGTAAATAGCAAATTAATTCATCTTGTTTCATTTAATGAAATCCAATTATGAAAGCACCATTTACTGTAATTTTGTCAGATGTTTTTTTGTAAGTTGGCTGTTTTGAGGATATTATAGCTGGGGCAAAATACCTGTTCATGGGCCGGGCCGGACTTTTACTCTTCAATCTTCATTAACAGAAATATGTTAGGCCCGAGTCCGAGCCCGGCCTTAATAAAAAGCCCAAAGCCCGACCTAATAAAAAAAATTAGAAATTTTTTCTATTCAATAATCAATATAAATCAGAATTTATTTACATTAAAAAAATATATAAATTCAAAATTTATTTATATTAAAAATATATATATAAAGAAGGGAAAGAGGATGTGGAGAAGAAGAATTTGGTTGGAAAAATAAGGGAAAGAGATGAAAAAAAGAGAGGTATTCAACTAGGGTTTTTAGGTTTATTTATAGGTCGGGCCGGGCCGGGCTTGGGCCGGGCTATTTTGGCAAATCCCGAGCCCGGCTCGAATTTATTGCGGGCTGGGCTTTTTGGTCCGAGATTAAACCCGCGGGCCTATATACCTGTTCAAGCCCGTCTGGGGACTGGGCCGGTCCATCGGGCCACCCGGCCCATGAACAGGTCTGGGGCAAATACAGAGCGATCTCTGTACATACTCGGGACCTGTTTGTCAGTATCCGAGGCTTTTTTTTTAATTTCTTTAAACAAACCTGTTCAAGCCCGTCTGGGGACCGGGCCGGCCCGTCGGGCCACCCGGCCCATGAACAGGTCTGGGGCAAATACAGAGCGATTTCTGTACATACTCGGGGCCTGTTTGTCAGTATCCAAGGCTTTTTTTTTTTAATTTCTTTAAACAAAAGCAATTGTCACCTAGGTTTTTCTAATTCTAAAGCCGGAAAAAGTATAAACACATGCCACCTCACTTTCACTTTTTCTTAAAAAAAAAGCCATCTCACCTTTTCCCAAAAGACAGGTCCAAGAGATCCTAAAGGGGGATAAACTTTGTCTGTTGGGGCCAACAGCCTATGCTGATTAAGAGAATCTGGAAATGACACGTTATCACGAGAATGAATAAATTAATAATTATAATTTGTTGTGTGGGATCCTGTTTCCTTAGAATAAACGTGGCTTAACCAACCGATGGCCGGTTCGTTGATCATTCGTGTGTTAATTGGTTTGTTTGAGCATTGATGATGCCGAATCAAATTCCAAAATCAAATTTCGTAATCAGCACTTTAGGGAAAAAGGGGTGAAGGGGAAATTATTAATGGTGCATGGCAACGAATATATAAAAAAGAAGAATAAATATGGTTTGGGAAATTTTAGATTTCAAGGGTCTCTTTGCTTCATGGACAGAATTGGAATCGGAATCATCTGTTTTTTACGTTTGTTTGATTCAGTTGCTGATGTAATTGATTTCATCAGAAATTTTTTATTTTGCATTAGTTTATTTATTATTTTATTAATATATAATTATTATTTAATAATTATTATCTTAGTATTTATCATTAATTTATGAATTTTTTATTGATGTATTAATATTTTATTATTACTTTTATAATATTTTTACTATTAATGTATTAATATTTATCATAAGCGGAACCATTTACAATATCAACAAGGGACAGGAATCCCATTCGAGCTAGTTACATAATTTACTTCCTCTCGATCAAATATTTCAATTTTCAAATGCGCCCTACAAATACCATGACCTTCCCCTTAACATCTGATACCCTTATCTCCAAAATGTTCACAGCATATCACCCCTTTAGTCATCATATAACTATTTACTGTATTAGTGTATGCATTTGCTTGTAAATGATCATATGTAATGATCAACATTGCAATGTACATATCATGGGCCAACTGTCCAACATGAAGAGAAATATTTTCTTCAAGATAGACAAACTCAGTCCAAAGTCCAAAGGATGTGTCAATTGTCATATACTAATTCTCTCAAGGACCTGCATTGGGTGGGCTCAACCCAATTCTTTCCATGATTTGGGCTTTGGACTATATGGCTTCTGGGTGAGCCTATGCCCGAAAAAACATAGTGGCCTTATCTTGAATCGCAGGTCTCAAGTAACTTGGGCGGGCCCAAGCAAACCTGATGGCGAACTGAACTGTAGATTGTAAAGTTGGGGCCAAATCTGAGGAAAAGCAATGAAACACCATCATATTTTTCTTCGAAGTCCTCCATTGGCTCTCATGATGGTCGGCAATTCCAATTTCGATGTGAATGTCTGAATGAAGCCCAACGCCATGGGCTAACATCCGCCCAAATAGACCTATCTCATAAAGCCCAATAAATAAGATTTCAAATCAACTGACCCACCTATCTCCAAGATTTTTTATTAAGGTGCCTAAATAATAATAAGATAGTTAACATTTATTATTAAATCTTCTAATGATTCTACGGAAAAGAAATAAATTCATATTTACATTTAGGCTCTATTTGGTTCGCAGGAATAGGGGTCTGGAATCAGAGTTGGAATGGACTATTCCAATTCCATCTGTTTGGTTGGGCAGAATTAGAATTCTATTTCTATTCTTGCTGGAATGGTATTCCTTCATTTGAGGGAATGGCCATTCCCAGCCCCTCCTTTGGGAATGAAATTTCATTCCTGCTGATTCCAATTCCCATTCTTATTCCTGTCTGAACCAAACAGAATATGGGAATAGGCCATTCCAATTTCAATTCTGACTGTGAACCAAACAGACCCTTAGATATTAATGAGACCTATAGAATAGAATTATTTTCAAGTGGTTCATTTATTTAGACAAGTAATACTTTTTTAATATTTGAATAAATAATTTATTCATCTGTGCAGAAAATTACCAATACTTGATAGGATAATATTATCCCTTCAATAATGTCATAAAACAGTTACTGTACAACATCATCTGAGGAATAAAAGAACATTGTTAAGTATACTTATCTGGGCCAAAAAACACTTGTCCAGTTAAGTGCACTTGCCTAGATAAATGACTTACCGAGAAACAAATGCGGCCTAACTTATTTTTACTAATATTAACGTCTTCCAATGGCTCTATATTAAAAAATATCAAATAGCTATAATTATAGATTCCTACCATTGGCAAATGAAATTTTCCATTTTCAAACATTGAAATATTTGCATACAAGGCTCAGTTTGGGAAACATTAAAAATACAAGGCTTAGTAATATCATCTACAATGTTTTGCACTATTACCAAACTAAACCTAACAAATTAAAACTTTTTTAAAGCACCACTGAAATAGTATGCGTTATTTTAAATTTTGTACCTCAACAGGACTTTGTTAAAAATTAAAGGCTTTTGTTTCGGCATTTGGGGGAAGAAAGAAATTTCAAGGAAATTTCTCGCCTTATTTTAGAAAATAAGCAAACTATGATGAATACCATACACATGAATAGGAAAAGAATGCTTTAAACATTGGTATTGGGCAAAGAATGCATGAGAGAATTAGAGATGAAGACGAGAAATGTGCCTTCCAACAAGGGTGGGTCCATGAATGGGCCAATCACAATTCAGAAACCCATACTACTTGTGAAGTCTTGTAGAGTTGCGGGCGGACAAAAGATTAATAATGACTGACATGTCAAGGAAGAAATCGGATTCAGTAAGTGTAAGCCCCCATTCAAACAGTCTTTATAGCTTTGCATTGGGAATATCTCCCCATACTGAGATATTCCTAATGCAAGGCTGTAAAGATTGTCCGAACTGACTGAAACCGATCTCGTCAAAGAAGGGAAAGAGAAAGAAAGTCTTCTGTTTCACACTCTACATGATACAACTCAATACGGCATTGGATATGCATGAGTTACTCAACTCAACTACCCCCACACCACACTTGCATAAGTACATGTACATCCTTGGAATACACATATTCAGAGCCATTTCTTGATCCATTAACCACCCATCTACCTTTTATTTCAAACAAGGTTTGGATCGAATTTGGACTAACCTGGGGGGTTTAGGGTTTGAGCCCATTGTTAGAAATTAGAACCCAATTAATGGACCCAACAAGTATAATGGGCTTCGAATGGGGAGATGGTCCACCTACCTGAACGTGAAGCACTGAAGCAGGCGTGCAACGGTGCAAAGTTCGAACCATGAAAGCCACTGGCATGCCGAAAAGAACAGCGGCATGGCAAGAGCCAAGAGACTGAGTTTTTAGGGTATGGGACCAGTAACTGGAGCACCATCATTTGGCCCCTCCCTTCACTTCAAATCCAAGTTTGTTGTCATCCTTTTGAATGAATCTGCGGTCCTGCTCTCAACGGTGACTCCAGGGAGTAACAAAATGTAGGGCAAATCCCAACCAAAGAGAAGCCCCCCACTAATTGACTATGATCAAGGAGGTGGGCCCGGCCATATCATAGGGAATTTGCATTGGCGCCCAACAGTACATCCCAACCATATATTGGGACTATTTACCCATGACCATGACAAGTGGGGTGTGCTACGTGGGGCGCCAATTTTAACTCTACCATACTCTCAACTTTAAACTCTCGATTCCCATGTCCACATTCATGAAAACTGAAAAGCGAGTCTAGATTTGATCCAACAAGTCATTGCAGCCCTTCTACATCGGGAATACCTCATCATGAAGACAAGGGAGATGTTCCGATACGCGGCTGTAATTACTCTTGTAGAGAGGCTTGTTGGAACCAGAACTGAACTCACATAAAGCCAGGTGCAGTTCACGTTTTCGAAAGAAGGAAGAATAGGGCAGACTCAGAAAACGATTATGAATTACAGACAAATATCTCTTGTGAGAGCAAATCAGCCCCTTACAACGTCTTACGGTACATCTCACCCTGTATTGAGAATATCTCTCGATTATAATACCAGAAATAATGGTGTCATCATGGATAGATATTCACAGTACACGGCAGGGATGTGCTGTGGGACGTTGTGAATATGGCATAACTCAAAATTAGTGTCATCCACTCGTACTATTATTATATGGAAATCACTGTGTTCAATGAGACAAGTGATAGGACATACCAATGCAGGGGCTGTTGTGTGGTCACAGTTCCTTCATTTCTCCATATCATAAATTTTCACATAGTAGCGTGATAGTATCTGCCAATTAACATAATAACATTGAAGGTTGGGAGGTGGACCTCATTTGGTGTTTAATAAATAATAAGGGAGAAAGAGAAAAGTTTGAAATTTCTGCTGTCGGTTTAGTTTAAATTCTGCCTCAACTGCATGTGACCAGGCACGGGAGTACCTTTGACTCATTTATACTGTTCTCCCTGTGATTCCAACATCCAACTCCCCTAGCTCTCTCTCTCTCTCATGTAGGAGGAGCTCCTCTACTATATACTAACCAAACCAAACCTTGGTTTCTTGTGGAGCTTAACTCATTTCCTTTGAACGTTTTTGGCGTTTCCTCTAAATCCCTAATTTTACTTTGTTGCAGTTTTTTTCTGTTACATAGGAATAGAATGAGGGACTTGTCATCCTCATTCCTTTGTTTCTTCAGGCTATTCTGCTGCATATGCTTCTTCCTACCGTCTGCTATTCCTTATGGTTGCTCTCTGCTCCCTCCCCCCCGCCCCCCTCCTCTCTGTCTGATACATTTTGAGTGCATCATAAACTGAGTTCTTCTTTGAATTTTGATTGCAGATGGACCTTTATACGATCATTCTGCTTACACAGAGGTATGCTCTGTTCTTCCGATGGATGTACATTCTGACGAAACTTATGTGTCGGTTGTTCTTCATTTGCTCTAAGCAAAATATTGTATATGATATCACATTTGGTAGTGCAAAACACATCCGGAGGGTCCACTTTACAATGGAGGGATTCTTAAAGATTACGCCCGTGACATTGGACGTCACCTCGACAATCCCGGCACCGGAATTTACACGCCAGCCTTCGTCCTCCGGAATCTCACTCAGGGCACCAAGTACTGTTTATCAGGTTGAGTCTCTCTCTCTCTCTACAGAGAAATGTAAGGAATCGGAGCTTCAATGTTTAGGTTTTCAAAGTTCTAACTTGATAAGTTGCTTTTCTTTGGCGTTCAACAGTTTGGGTGAAGATCAATGGCGTAGATTCTGCTCTCATAAGGGCAAGATTATCAACACAAAATGAAACTTATAAGTGTGTTGGGACTGTAATAGCACAGAGCGGATGCTGGTCTTTTCTCAAAGGCGGATTTGTTTTGGATTCACCGTCCGAGTTATCTATCCTTTTTTTCCAGGTATGTATATGTATACACATCTTTCACGGAAGAATATAAACAAATGTAGAACAACTTTTGACCCAAATTGATGTTGGTTTTATTGCAGAACTCGGACGACAGAGATGTCGATATCTCAATAGCAAGTGCTTCTTTGCAGCCATTTACTGATCAACAATGGAGAATAAACCAAGATTACAAAATCAACGCTGTAAATTACTCTATACCTTTATACTTTCTTATTCAAGTTGTTCTATTTCGCGCCCTTTTATCTAAGAATCGTTTAAGCGGGATTTTTCGTTAATGGTGATGGATTGTTCTGACTTCTGATTGGACTCAGAGTTCGGACTCTTCTTTCACACCGCACAGCCTGCACCAAGTCCTCTGATACTTGGTCAATTCACACACAAATTGCTTGTGTAGAAAGTGTAGGAATTCCTTTAGGCTGTAAATGGATGGGATAGAATTGAATAACCTAGAATCAAATTTGATTCGTTAATTTTGGGATTCAAACTGAATTTCTTTGTGAAACCCAGAAAACCTGATTGGACGGTTGGTCAAAACTTTCCAAGTTGTAGGGGTTAATTTGATATCTTACCAATTTTCTTCTTTTTTCTACTTGAATGTTTTTTCTTTAATTAGTTCAGTGTGTATGAAGCCTATCCAATGTATTGGATCCCTAACAAGAAATCTCAGTGCAGGAAAGAAAACGAGCAGTGACCGTACATGTATCTGATGCACATGGAGATAGGTTGAGAGGAGCAGATGTCAGAGTAGAGCAAATCTCTAAAGACTTCCCATTCGGATCGGCAATTGCCAAAACCATTCTTGGAAACTTACCTTACCAGGTTAACACTTACTGAAAAAAAAAAAAAAAATCAACTGCCTATATTGACCTGGAAAGCTTACTTTCATCAAAAGCTTTAACAATATTCTCTTCAAATTATATCCACAGGATTGGTTTGTGAAGCGGTTCAATGCTGCAGTCTTTGAAAATGAGCTTAAGTGGTATGTTACAGAAGCCAAACCTGGGAAGATCAACTATACCTTAGCAGACCAGATGTTAGAATTTGTTCGGGCTCACCAAATCGTCACCAGGGGCCACAATATCTTTTGGGAAGATCCTATATACACACCTGATTGGGTTCGAAACCTCACAGGCGCAGAACTGCAATCGGCCGTTAATTCGCATATTCTGAGTCTGTTGAACAAATACAAGGAGGAATTCATACATTGGGACATCAGCAATGAAATGCTTCATTTTGATTTTTATGAGAAAAAACTTGGCCCCAATGCTACCTTGCAATTCTTTCAGACTGCACACCAAGCAGATCCATTGGCAACCCTCTTCATGAATGAATTCAACGTGGTGGAGACCTGTGCTGATGCTAATTCAACTGTGGATCACTACATTTTGAGGTTAAGAGAACTGAAAAAAGGTGGGGCTACAATGAGTGGAATTGGCCTAGAGGGCCATTTCACCATACCTAACCTTCCTCTAATGAGAGCTGTCATAGACAAGTTGGCCACCTTAGGGCTTCCAATTTGGCTGACAGAGATTGACATCAGCAAGACCATTGATAAGCAAACTCAGGTAAGCAATCAAATACATTCAGTCTCCCTAATAAAGAATATGAACAGAACAGAACTTCCTCATTGAGTTAGCTTCTTTTATTTGCAGGCTATCTATCTTGAACAAGTACTAAGAGAAGGATTCTCACATCCTTCTGTGAATGGGATAATGCTTTGGACCGCCCTTCACCCCAATGGTTGTTACCAAATGTGCTTGACTGATAATGATCTCAACAACCTCCCTGCTGGTGATGTAGTCGACAAGCTCTTGCAAGAATGGCAAACTGGTGAAATAAAGGGTCAAACCAACGAGCAGGGTTCATATAGCTTTTATGGCTTCTTAGGTGAATACAAGCTATATGTTCAATACGAAGATAAATTCATAAATTCAACATTCTCACTTAGTAGAGGAGATGAAACTAAACATTTCAGCATTCAGCTATGAGTCCTTCATTCATCCGTTTTATTTACACATGAAGGATGTATCTCCACACATTTATACCAAGCTTAGTGTGTAAAGATCTTCCTTCTTAAAAAGTGCAATTTTAATAAATAAATACGAAATGACAGTGTATCTCTCTTTGTTAATGCACTATTACACTAGTTTAGACTTTAGATGTAGAGCATACTTAGGTCTATGACTGCCGGTGCATGACTCGAACATTAGTTTTTCTTCATTGTGAAATTGAATTTGACAATTCCACAAATTGGGTCTATTGTTGAGTGGAGCACAGCATTGCAGAATGCGGAATTTCAACCTTCTATAATTCTCATAAATACGGAATCCAAATTGACTGAGAAGAACAGAAAATGGAATTTCAAATCCAAATCCACTGTTGCAATTTGTTTGGTGAATCCAATATGTGAGTTTTTGACTACTGCCAAAGTTCCGCATGAACCAACCACTGTAACTGCAGGCATGGATGAGTTTTTCATGAACCGAAAGCTGAAGATGTTGCCTTGGTGCTTAAGAAGCAAAAAGTCATCAAGTGTTCCTCGATCATAGTAGCTTGGGTTTTTAATGGAGATATTGTAGATATTGTATATATTTAGAAAGATATTGTTTTAGGAAGTTGCTAATATTGTGTTTAGGAAGTTACTAATATTGTATTTAGGAAGTTGAAGTTGCTAATATTGTGCATATGGATTTTTAGGAAGATAGAGTTTTAAGAAGGCATTGTTTTAGGAAGTTGCTATTTTCTAGAGTTGCCACTTTGATCATGATGTAATTGTATATATATGGGGCGATTGCCTCCATTGAAAGCAAGACAGAATAGCCATTCCTTTGAATTTCGACCTATGCAATTATTCTTTAGTTTTCCATGTAGATATTGAAGAATTGTCACATTGTCAGTTGAACGAATCTCTAATTAGCCCGTGCCAAAATCGAGAATGAAGTGTTCATTTCCCGTTTTCTTTATAAAATCAATGATTCCTTGAAACCCTCAAAATCACTAGGTTGAGAAATAATTCTGACACTGTTATGGAATAGAACCGCGATGGTGGAATTTGGAACATTCTAGTTTTGGATGGGTTGGCGAATTCAATCGATCCTCCAATTAATTCCATTGGGCACTCGATTCAATCCTCCAATTCAAATGACTATACCCCCTCTACCCTGTCTTTTCTTTTCTTTTATATATTTATTGTACAGAGGAAAACAACAATAGAAACTCCATGGGGCAATGTCCCCGGAGATCCCTAAGTCTAACTCTATACCCCCTCTATGGAGCTTGAAGTAAGCTTCTCTTCCTTGCATCAGCTTGGGAATATCCTCTATAACATAACTGATTCCTTGCAGACCAGGGAGGGGTGACCCTTCTTCTAATGCAGTCTAATGTGATCCTGAGAGAATTTTCACTCAATGTTTTTGAAGTTGTTGATGGTGATATGACCATAATAATTGCCTCCACCGAGGTCTGACAGGCAAATTGCATTTAGCATAAGCTCAGATTACAATCCTGTCCCACGCTATGAAACAGAAAAGGGGGACATATAGACCAAGTCTGCCTACAAGAAACAGATAAACTAAGCATGTCGTGCAGTATTGTGTGCCACCATGTGCAGAACACAGGACATGGCACACTGATCTATTCAAGCTGCCTCGTCTGCTAATCAGTGAGAAGAACCCTAACCCAACCCAACCCAAGGCTAGGCTCAGGTTGAGAACCCAATCTTCTTCCCATCCCTTAAAACCTTATAAAATTTCTCAATTTCAGATTAACTCAACTTTCACTACATATATTAATCTTATGCTTCATTGGTGTTTGTTTGTTGATATTTTCATTGGTTCTTTTGGTACAAAGTTCAGAAAAAATAAGTGTTTGAAATGACTATGGTTTATTATGAATAATGACTTATGGTAGATCTTTTATAGGCAGCAAATAAAATATTCAAAAAACATAAAATATGTTCTTAGGGTTTTAGTCTTGCCAATTAGGATTAAGTGAAGTGATTACCTTAAAAGAAATACATGATACTATGTGGTTGGGGATATACAACAATCATGCATTTAAACAAATCAATGTATGATATATTACATATAACATATATTTATATATGACATGTACTGTAGTTAGTTTCGGGTTGCCAAAGGGGTCAGCCCTAACCTAACCCGAAGTAAAGTCAAATTCAAGAATTTCAACCCTAACCTTAACCTGAACATCAACCCAACCCAACTCAACTTTTTCGAGCTGGGTTAGGGTTGGGTTTGAGCCAATTCAACCCAAGTTGTAGGCTTACAAAGTAGAGCAGTGTCTTCCGTCTTTGCTACCAAGATAGGTGGAGCCTTCATCACTCTCTTGTGCACAAAACTACCACTTCAATAGAGAATTTGTCGTTCGCTTCATCACCACACCATAATATTAATCTCTCATTTTTGTTAGACTAGTAATTAAGCACATACGTTGCACGTGAGAAATTTCTCTTCATATTAATTACTTGAATTTTAGATATAGCATAGTTAATATAGAAATTAAAAATTAACAAAAGTAACAACATGATTAAAAAATAAACTTAAATGCATGTAGCAAATAACAATTATTATTTTTATTAAATTTTGTATTCCATTTCTATCATAAATAAAAATAAATTTTATCTTAACAATTATTTTTATTTAATATGATGAATATATAACATTAGAAATGTTTTCAAATGTTTTTGACAAAATTCTGTATATTTTCATTTTTGGTGTTCTATCTTTTTTTAAATATTTAATATTCAATTATGACATCTTTGGTTTCTTCGAAAAGTTGGATCATTGACCCACCATCTAGACAAGAAATTAGCTTTGCTTTCAGATTCGTTTAAATTTAGAGAAAATTATAGTTAGAGATGGCATACATTTAAAATTAGGCTACAGGTTGGTCTAAAAACCAACAACACTCTAACAATTGGCTTTACATTTCAAATTATAAAAACCCCTGCCTTACCAAAATTGCCTTTTAATGTTGGGTGATTGGAAAATAAAAAAAAAAATGGTTTTTTAGTTTATCTCACACTCCCTCTCTCCCTCCCTTCCTCTCTCACATTCTCACAATCGTCTCTCTCTGTTCAACAACTATGTGATTTGAAAATAAATAAAAATGGTTTTTGGTTTCTGTATTTACATTCTTTCTATCACTTTCTCTTATTCTCTCTCTCCCTATTGTTTTCCCTCAATTTCTCTCATTTTTTTTCTCTTCCATTCCCTCTTTCTTTTTTTTTCTTACACATTTATATGGTATTAATCAAATCGTATAAAAAGACATGAGACCAATTTGGTATGGTTCAAAAATCATTACACCAATTTGATAAAAATTCACAAGTAACTCTTGGCTATGAAATTTACAACAACTTGATAGAAATTTATAATTTGATTGTACAAGTGGTTGGTCTCTTTAATTCTTTTATACGATTTGATTAATATTGTATAAGTTTGTAAGAAAAAAAAAGAACAAAAGAGGGAGTGGGAGAAAGACTAAGGGTGAACGATAGATTGAGAGAGAGAGAGGGGGGGGGGTTTGATTTTGCTACAAACCAAAGCTGAGAGAGTGGGAGAAATAAAGGGAGTGGGAGATCGAGAAATAACTATGAGAGTGAGAAAGAAGGGAGAGAAATCAAGAGACAGAGGGAGTGGGAGAAAAACTGAAAACCTATTTTCAATATAGGCTTTTTGTTGTGTCTAACATGGATTATGAGTCTCATGTTGGCAATAGCCACATAAGCCTTTGATGACATTGCGTGATTTTTTATAATTTGAAATGTAGAGCTGGTTGTCAAAGTTTTGTTGGTTTCTCGACTAACCTGCAACCTAATTTTAAATGCACAATCGGATTTGACTATAATTTCCCTTTAAATTATATGTTTCATTTACATCATATAAAATATTTTTTACTTATCACACTTAATTTTTGTTTGCCTATGATATCATTTGACCCAAACCACTAACCCACCACCCAAAAAGAAAAATGGTTAGATTTCTAAGTTGACATTAAATTTTGTATTACATTTTCGTCATTGATAAAATTATTTTTTATGTATAATACTTATTTTTGTTCAATATAATGAATGCATAATATTAGAGATGTACCTAATATTTTATTTTTTATAAATATATAACATTAGATATGTGCCCCAAATTTTCTCTATCTTTTTTTGTGATTCTTTGTATTTTCTATTTTTAAAAATTTTATTATTTGATTATGTCACCATTTCATTTCTAGGTAGATTTTAAATTTGGCATTCCATTTTCATCATCAATAAAAATACTTCTTACATTTAATATTTATTTATTTTATTTTTTGTTATTTAATTATGACATTATTTATTAATCCATTTGATCCCAAATGGTTCAAATGGTCGAATTGCTTGCCTACCACTGAGAGGGAAGAAAATGGTTTTATTTTCACATTACTTTTCAAATTATTTATTTTTATACTATTAAAATTAATATTGTAAATTTAATTACAAGAATTTAAAATAATAAAATATTTTTATTTCCAATTGGTTTTAAATTTTACATTCCATTTTCCATCATTAATAAAAAAATTTCTTATTTATCATACTTATTATTGTTTAATATGTATTTTAAAAATATTCCCAATTTTTTTAATTTTTATATTTTTCATTTTATCCATTTTTGAATTTTATTATTTAATTGTGGCAACATGGATTTACCCATTTGACCCAAAATGGTTTAATTCTTACCATTACCTAGATGAAAACACTATTTTTTCTAGGTAGATTTTAAAAGTATAAGCTTTTATGTTATTGAATTTATTAATTTATTAAGTATGAATGTAATTAATAGAACTTAATGATGAGAAGAAACAAAAATAATTTAAATATATGATTTAATGAACATGAATGCAAGTTAATAACTGAAGTGTTTGATTTAATGAGAGGAAATTGAATGCATTGAATATCTTAAAATGACCCATTTTCAATTCGCTTATTATCAATAACCAATTACCCTATTTGTCCTCATTTTATCAATAAATTTAAATATAAAGGGGGTAAATTTTGTCCTTAAAATATTCCAGAAATATTTTTTAGGTCATTCGTGCTTTTTAAAGTAGTATAGATTCTATTAAGCAAAGGTTTGTTTGGTTTGTGGGAATAGGGGTATAGAATTGGAAATTTGAAATGAGAATTAGGGATGGAAAATTTTCCCTTCTCCATCGGGTACTTGACCTCCCTGACCCAATGGGGTTTTTGAAAAATTTCTTTATTTTAAATAAATTTATTTTTTAAGAAATAATATTAATTAAAAAATTTGGGGATTTAGGTCCCTATGGGGATCCCGTTTTCATTGGGGATCAAGGATAGAGGATAACTTTTACCCCTGTAGGAATTGGGGTCGGGATGGGAATATATTTCAAAATCAGGGTCATGGATGAGAAATATGATCCCCCCCTCCCCCCAACTCACCACGTTGCGCAAAATCAAAATCTCATTCGTACTCCTATGGAATGGTCCACTTCCCTTGGGAGTGAGTATCCCATTCCAGCTACTTCCCATTATGATTCCAAATGGATCTGAACCAAACAGACAAGGGGAATAGACCATTCCAATTCTGATTCCAATTGCGAAAAAAAATGAACCCTAAATGTTTCTAATCTCATCAATAATGTTTCTATAATGAGTTCAGATCTTCTACTAACAAACACTACAAACACCATCTCAACGAGTCATTATAGTAGTACATTGAAAATATCTCCCCATAAAATGAGATGTTCTCCATATGTGACTAAAATGATATGTTGGGACTGTATTGGGAGCATTCTATTGATAGTAGATCGCTTCTACAACATGCTCTAACTTTTGGATGTTCCATGAGTTGATCTAGCCATCGATGAACTGATCCACTTTTGGATTAAGGTCCAAGTTTACTTAAGTCAATTGGGAATTTACATCAGCACCCCACTCGTACTCTACAGTTCATCCCGTCATGCATTGGGAATATCTCCTCATGACAAGTACATGAGATGTCCTCAATGCACACTGAGATGTACATGTGGGGCACTTGTGAGGCTTAAATCTGCCCACCTTATAAAGAATGCCCAGCTCGATCCAATTGTTAGTTCAGAATGAAAATGTCTTTTTCATGATCCCACTATCCATCTCATAAGTCATACCCCTCTGGCCCTCTGTCCTGAGGCAGCTTCATAGTTGTTGAGATGTCTAGATTTTCATTACACCCTATTAGTGAAATTCTGCAATAAATCATGCAATCATTATACAAGGTGAAAAATATGATTTTTTTTTTGTATTTGAAAAATAAGAATCTTAGGACCATTAAGTGAACCCTTTTTTCCAGAGTTGGATTCCTTGGCTTTTATATCATGACATAATTTCAAAGTGAAGGACTCAAGATAGGGGGTCACATTGTCTTATGCTTCTAGAGGCTTCAAATTTTGGGCCAAGGAAATCATCAACCATTAATGATCAGTTTATAAGTGGGGTGGATATGCATTTCATAATCCATAGATCCATTTTTCATGGAAAACAAGTTTTTTTCGTGGCATTTTCTTATGAAATCCCGCATAAACCTATGATAGGGTTTCTTCGTATCAAACTTGCAATACATGCACATTTGTTCCTTTTTTCAATAATAAAAGCACTTTGGAAGGAGGGACTGGCTTGTTAAGGAATTCACATCTGCACCCTCCAATACATCCCTACCTTATATTGGGAGCATCTCTCAATGATGTCTCATCATTTTTTGTATTTGTCATCCGAAGATGTTTCCAATACAAAGTGGGGATGTGCTGTAAGGCATTGTGGGGCGCAGATGTGAACTCCTTGTTAAGAATCAGTCTTAATCTATTGACCGTGATTCTAGACATCATTCTTGTTTATTGTAAAGGCTTTGTTCTTTTGTGCTCGAATAATGGTAGAAATATGAAAAGAAATTATTATTGCAATTTCTTAATTGTAGCATGTTAATCCTTAGGTTGCATTTGGTTGAAGAGCAAATCTTGAAATATGTACCCAGTTCAGCTTTGTTTTGGTTTGTTTGTAATTATGCATTCCTACCAGCTACAAAATTTGTACTATTATTTTCTTGTGCACTTACTGGTAATGTGAATTTTGCGTTCTAAAAAAACTGTTACAGAATATGCACAATCTCTCTCTTTTAATTCAATTTGTTCTCATATAAAGTGGGGATTATATCATCTTGCATCCTACCCTATCCACTTGTCTTTCTGTTAGGTTGTATTTGATTGCAGTGCAAATTCATTTGCACTGATGCAAAATTATAGTAATGCAAATAATTAAGTTTTGTTTTTTTTTTTTCAAAATTTACCTTACTTTGTTTGGTTACAGTAAAAATGAAATAAAATAAAACCCAAAGTAGAATAAAGTAAAATCCAAAACAAAATTAAACTAAAATTTACATTTTTATCATTTTCACTCCATACATTTGTACTGATGCAAATAAAATTACACTGCAACCAAACATAGCCGTAGTGGATAAGAAAACATTACATTTCCACTCATATTTTTTAAGTAAATATGCACTCTTACCAATTATCTACGAAACCGAACCAGACTGCAGATTTACCTTGGTTCAGCCTTTGCACTCTTATCAAACACAAGTTTGATTTTTTTATTTTTTTTGGTGTAGGGACTGTTCTTTTTAAAAGTATTTTTATTCCAGCTTTTAACCATAATTCTAAATAATTGACTAAGAATTAGCCATAACCTCCTCCAGCGAGGGTTTGATGCACCACATGGAGTTAAGGCTGTGTTTGGTTGTTGTGCAATTTTATTTGTATTAATTCAAATACATGAGAGTGCAAATGAAAAAAATGCAAATTTTTGTATAATTTTATTTTGAGTTTTACTTGATTCTACTTCATGTCTTAATTTACTTTATTTGTACCGCAGTCAAACAAAAGAAATTAAAATTTGAAACAAAAACTGGTCAGAATATACATTCAAATCATTTGCACTGCCATGATTTTGCATCAATACAAATTTATTTGCATTGCAATCAAATACAGTCTAAATCTAAATGGTTTGAGCCATTTTGGGATTAATGGGTTAGTAACTTAGTGCAAGTAATGTAGGTGCATGAGGCTTAAAAAAGTTCTACGTTGAGGAACATCCTTCTCCATAAGCGTTGTATCAAACCTTTGAAAGACCATCTCGCAATCATCATCTCTTTTTGTTGTTACATGTGGAAGGTTTTTCCCTACAAGGAAGATCGATTAAGTCATTCTCTTAAGTTATGTCAGTTTGAAGGAACATGTTAAGGCTCTTATCAATTCTAGCACTGTCTTGACTCTTGACAGGCTAGAATTTTCGTTTAGCTGCGTTTGATTACAGTGAAAATAAATTTGTAGTGATCCAAAATTATGGTAGTGCAAATGATATGGTACAAATTTTAATTTATATTTTTACTTAAAAATTGTCTTATATATATATATATATATTTTCTAATTCCACCATTTTGCTAATTTGCTTTTTCATCTTTGCTGTTGAAATATGAAATGAGCTGAATGGGTGAAATTCGGAGCTTCATGAATACTTGCCAGTCTATAGTTGCATTCGCTACGCGACCCAATTCGAGCATGCCCTACCCTGTGCCCGGACACAAGATCCATTGACACGAGCTGCGGATGGAGACCGGATCTGCTCCTCACAGAGGGCGCCTCACACGCACATCCCTGACTCCCTGAACCTTTAGTATCCCCACACGTCACACCTCACTCCACAAAAAGGGCATAATATGATTCTGCGCGTATCCCTAGGCATTTGCCAGCAGAGTGCGGCCACACAATTTCGCTTATCCCACTGACGAGCTCGTCGATGCAGCAAATAAAACTACTTTTCGCGTCACTGACCGAAATCTAGCCAATCCACAGGCACCACGTGTTCAAAAGACATATCCATGTCTTTGAATTCAAATCCATCACCGTCAACTGCTCACCCAAGGAATAAATTAATTGCTGAGATAAACCCTTCAAACAAATTTCCTTGAATAATAGGCAGCGTGATACCAATTATGCCCTCCACATTCTTTTCCCTCCGGCCTCGGCTCCTCTGTTCCAGTCCCTGTCTTATGCGGGCCGTTGGTACAGAGGTGTAAAGAACTTTTTGTCAAAGAAAAGGATAAAATGGGAAAGAAGTGAAAATCTAATTCGATTGCGAAAGTAATAATCGATTAAGGTAAAAACCAATTATAAAATCTCGTGGGACCCTATAATTCTGCGTATGCAACACGAATTGGAAATACGGCTTCGAACAGTCCAGAACATTGGTTTCTCCACGTCAAGGCGATATGACAATCCAGTAGAAATACGCCACGTGTATATAAGAACATTTTACACCGTTAGATCCTCCACTCTGGCATGATATAGCTAAACCGCCGGTTCAGCTTCAGGACAAGGTCTTCCTGAGCTCTCCCCTGGTCTCCGGCTTCAGAAACCCGATATATAACGACGGGCGAGGCGAAACTCGGCAGAAATCGAAGCAAATCCATTTACACACACCGAGTGGCAAAGCATACTGCGTAGCCTCGAGAACGATGAGGAAGTGGACGATCCCTTCCGCCCTGCTTCTCTTACTGCTCCTTTCTCTCCTTCCAGATCAAGGCAAGATTTTTGATGCCTTATATTGGTTTTTCTGGCATTGGACTTTCTTTTGACGTCTCATTCTTTGAAAAGTTCTGTTTTCTTTTAATTTTGCTAGAGCACTCATGAAATTTCATTTCAAAGAAAGGTTAAGTTAATCTGCATTTACCGGCCTCGGAGCTAGATGAGTTGAGAAACTAAATTGAATTTTTTATTTTTTCACTTGTTGTTTCTGGATCGTCATCTGTGATTTCAGTTGCGGTGTTAGGGTACTAATATCTGCATTTTACTTAATATAATATGATGATGGAACGGCTTAAGTAGGATTCTTTCAGCATGTTAGATCCGTTATGTTCTATGGAGATTTACTCACTCCACTTGTCTAGGTTTAGGCTCATTCCAAGATTTTGCTGCTCTAGAACTCAAATGAACAAAAAATGCAGTCTTAATAGTTGCACCAGTTATAGATTTTGCGTTCTGTTCCTGATCTTTTTGATTCTGTAGGTCACAAGTTACACGCTAGCGCGGAAGAAAGTGAGGAGCTTGTAGATCCTCCAAAGGTAGAAGAAAAGATCGGTGCCGTTCCTAATGGATTATCTACTGATTCGGATGTGGCCAAGAGGTCTATATTTTCTACTAATCTGCTTTCCAGCATAGGATCTGTTTTAATCTTCCTTTTTGTGATGCGTGATGTTTTCTTTCTTGATGATTCTACATGGATGTATTTTCTCTTCTTTTCTTCTATTTTTCACTTCCAAAAGTAATAATTTCTATCCAGGGAAGCGGAATCAATCTCAAAGAGGTCTCTTCGCAGTAACGCAGAGAAGTTTGAATTCCAGGCTGAGGTTTCTCGCCTCATGGATATTATCATTAATTCCCTCTATAGCAACAAAGATATTTTCTTGAGGGAGTTGATCTCCAATGCTTCTGATGTAAGATTTCAGTAATTAGTTTCTATTTGTTATTTATTTCCAGTTTCTCAAGGCATTAACCCTAACTGAATCATTATGTTTCTTTTCAGGCATTGGATAAAATCAGATTCCTTTCTCTCACGGATAAGGAGATTTTGGGTGAAGGCGATAATACAAAGCTTGAAATCCAGGTCAGTAATATTTTTAGTACAGTGATAATGTTGTTGAAGTTCAGAGTTCAATTAAGTATAGGAATTTCTCGGGTTTAACGATTTAACTTAAAAAAAAAAAAACGTTTACTCGGGGCGCCACTTAAACGTTTAGGTTCGATTTGAAAATGCAGATTAAACTTGACAAGGAAAAGAAAATACTTTCTATTCGTGATAGAGGTATAGGAATGACGAAAGAGGATTTGATCAAGAACTTGGGTACTATTGCTAAATCTGGAACTTCAGGTAACTTTTTTATCGATTGTCAAAATATAAATTTAAAAAGAACATTCAGTTGGAGATGTAGTTAAAGTTTCTTTTGCACTGAATGGAGAAGCAATATTGTGTATTGCACTTGTGTAGCTTTTATGGAGAAAATGCAAACCGGAGGTGATCTTAATCTCATTGGGCAGTTTGGAGTTGGATTTTACTCTGTTTATCTTGTTGCTGACTATGTTGAAGTCATCAGCAAACACAACGATGACAAACAGTAAGACTTTCATTCTTATTTACTTTCCATTTTTTTTGTTCTTCTCCCACTTGTATTTTTCGTTGAAAATGGAGACATGTACAACTTTTTTTTGTGGTTTACAGGCATGTATGGGAGTCAAAGGCTGATGGATCATTCGCAATTTCTGAAGATGTGTGGAATGAGCCACTTGGACGGGGAACTGAGATCAGATTGCATCTTCGGGAGGAAGCTGGGGAATATTTGGAGGAAGATAAGTTAAAAGTGGGTATTTCGATTCTTTGAAAATCCTGTGTTCTTGTTATATTCTATATTGCCTTCAGTAAATGTTATTGATTACAGAATTGTTTGTTGCCACACTACGGTTTCCAAGTTCTAACTTGAAAACATTTTTCTGGGTGGAGGAATAGTGACATGGTTTTGTGGGGATTTACTGCTCTGCAAATAAGATTCTTTCATTTTTTCATAATTTTATTATTTTGGGTATTCCAACTTGTTAATGCATCTCCGTCTCATTATACCAAATGCATGGTTGCTTAATGTAGAGTTCTGAAACTTCATATGGTTTTTGTTCTTTATTTTCCTTCTTTGCTTGGGTTTTTCTAATCTTGTATTCCTTCTGCTTGACTAAACACCCGTCACATGACAATTGTTGGATCATGCCTTTATTTTCCATTAATGAAACTGTGGTTATACAATTTCCATGTTTTTTTTTATCAGCAATACAATTTCCATGTTATTGCTTTAGAAGTTATAATTGCAAGGAGAAAGACGAATAATGAAATAGTAGTAGAACCCAGACATGTAATGAGGAAAATCTTTTTCTGGTAAAAGATAAATGTGTTTTTATCATATTCTAAAGAATGGAATATAGTTCTTAGGTATTATTTAAAATGTTTGGTACTGAATTAATAATATGTATGTTTCATTCAAAAGTAGATGAACAGAAACCTTCTGTTTTTCTAGAAAAAGAAAGGAATCATCGTATCTTCAAGATTGATATTTTAAATTTTAACACCAATACTTGCTTTCTGATTGCAGGAGTTGGTGAAGAAATATTCTGAATTCATTAACTTCCCCATATACATCTGGGCAAGCAAAGAAGTGGAGGTGGATGCTCCTGCAGACGAAGATGAATCTAGTGATGAAGAGGAAGCATGTAAGTGATTTGATTGCCAAAACCAATATTTTTTTGAAGACACCTAAATGCTGAAGCTATGATGTTATGAATCTTTTCAAGTTGTAACTATGTCTGTTTTTATTTTTTATTTTTTTTATTTTTACACTTACAATATCTTCCTACTCACATATCTGCATTGCTACAACCAGCTGAAAGCAGCTCTACAGAGGAAGAAGTGGAGGAGGAAGATGCTGAAAAGAAGCCAAAGACAAAGAAGGTGAAGGAAACGACTTATGAGTGGGAACTGTTGAATGATGTGAAGGCCATATGGCTGCGGAGTCCAAAAGAAGTGACAGAGGAAGAATACACAAAATTCTACCACTCCCTTGCTAAGGTAAATTTTATCAGTTCCAGAAATGCAGATATACTTCACATTTTTCTGGATAAATGTTTTGTTAACGGTTTTTCATTTTCACTTCTTGTACAGGATTTCGGTGATGAAAAGCCCTTAGCTTGGAGTCACTTTACTGCAGAAGGTGATGTAGAGTTCAAGGCAGTTTTGTTCGTTCCTCCCAAGGCTCCTCATGATCTGTACGAGAGCTACTATAACACCAACAAATCCAACCTGAAATTGTATGTCAGGCGTGTCTTCATCTCAGATGAGTTTGATGAACTTCTACCCAAGTATCTGAACTTCTTAAGGGTAATACATCTCTTCTTGGTTCATAACATTGAGTTCTCTGAGATAGGATGCATATCTAGATTAGGTACTTCCTTGGTTCTTATTGCAATGATTGCAGGATCTCAGCCTGTCATATATGTTTTCAATAGGGTCTTGTTGATTCCGACACATTACCGCTCAATGTTTCGCGAGAAATGCTTCAGCAGCACAACAGTCTAAAGACGATAAAAAAGAAACTAATCCGCAAGGCCCTTGATATGATTCGTAAGATTGCTGATGAGGATCCTGATGAGTCCAATGACAAAGACAGTAAAGGTATGGATATAGTGATACTTTCATGTAGGGGTGTCAATTGGACTGGATTTGGTCCAATCCGATTCAGTCCAATGTCAGTCGTTACAAATGGACTGGGTCCAATCTGATTCAGTCCAATGTCAGTCGTTACAAATGGACTGGGTCCAATCCAATGAATATTTTGACTGTTTTGGACGGGTCCAATCCAATGTCTGGACCGTACAATCTGTTCAAATTTGTTTTAATTTATGTTGGTTCTAACCCAAACCTGGTCCATCGACGCTTGTATTCTTATCTTCTATCAATTGATCAGTTATTGGCTCCATCCAACCCAATCCAATATAAATTTGTTACGGATGGCCAGGTCCAATCTAATCCAATAAATATTTTGGACCATCAAGTCTGGACTGGTCCAATTCAAAATGTTTTGTTGGTCTGTCCAATCTGTCCACATTGATTTTGATTTGGATGGGGTCCAATCCAAAGCCAGTCCATTGACACCCCTACTTTCATGGGATGCTACTTCACCTTTATGACATGGTACTGCCTTGCCTGAATTGCTCCTCATTTGTTGGAATTTACTGATTCATCAAGCTGCATTAAACTGGACAATCTTCACCTTCACACTAGATATATTTTATTTTTTTGTCTTTCTCCCCTCTCATTGGCAATGGGCACCCATTAAACTTTACAATCTTCTATCAATAAACATTATAATTCTTTACTGGTTCTAGTTTTTATGTGGTTGTTTCGTGGCTCTAATCCTCATTCTTTTCTCCCCTCTTTGTGGATGTTGCAAAAGATGCTGAGAAGGCCAGCGACAATGATGAAAAGAAGGGACAATATGCTAGATTCTGGAATGAGTTTGGCAAGTCCATAAAACTTGGTATAATTGAGGATGCAACCAACAGAAACCGTCTGGCTAAGCTTCTCCGATTTGAAAGGTATAATATGGTTTATTTAATTTTGACTTTCATTCTCTAGTGATGTGTTTTTCCTTTATGTTGATTATCTTTGAATCATATACCTTTTAAGATTAGACCTTTATTTGTTATCTTTGTTCTTTTCATAGTACCAAATCTGGTGGCAAGTTAGCTTCGCTTGATCAGTACATTTCAAGAATGAAACCAGGGCAGAAGGACATATTTTACATAACAGGGGCTAGCAAAGAGCAACTAGAGAAATCGCCATTCCTTGAGAGGCTCACAAAGAAAAACTATGAGGTATGAGCTGAAAACTCATTGTTTGACCCTTTGTTTCTTATTGATGTCCGAAATCTAATGACTAGGTCAAGGTGTCTTTCTTGATGTTTCAGCGTTATCTAATTCTAGCCTTTTGCTTGTGGATGATACTGCTGCAGGTTATTTTCTTCACAGATCCAGTGGATGAGTACCTCATGCAATATCTGATGGACTATGAAGACAAGAAATTCCAGAATGTCTCGAAGGAAGGATTAAAACTTGGGAAGGACTCTAAGGACAAAGACCTCAAAGAGTCGTTCAAGGAGCTGACTAAATGGTGGAAGGGTTCTCTCACCAGTGAGAATGTAGATGACGTGAAGATAAGCAACCGTTTGGCTGACACCCCTTGTGTAGTGGTGACATCTAAGTACGGATGGAGTGCGAACATGGAAAGGATCATGCAGTCTCAAACTCTATCGGACGCCAGCAAGCAGGGATATATGCGTGGCAAGAGAGTGCTTGAGATCAACCCAAGGCATCCAATCATCAAGGAGCTTCGGGAAAGAGTTGTCAATGACCCGGAGGTAATCAATCCTTAGAGCCCCCTTAAACATTATCTGAGAAAAAACCAGGCCAGAGTGATATCCGAACATGTAGAATTGTGCAATTTTCCTTTTGTTCTCTGACTTGGTAACATGACATGTGGACTTTGCAGGACGAGAGTGTAAAGCAGACAGCACGGCTAATGTACCAAACTGCACTCATGGAGAGTGGATTCATGCTTAATGACCCCAAGGATTTTGCTTCGCGCATCTATGACTCAGTTAAGGCAAGCTTGAAGATAAGTCCGGATGCTTCCGTGGAAGAGGAAGATGATGCAGAAGAGGCCGAGGCTGAATCTGACACGAAGGAAGCTGCGGCTACTCCAAAAAGCAACGAAGGAGAAACTTCTAAAGATGACACCGATACAGAACCTTCTGCTGTCAAGGACGAGTTGTAGATCACGATCACCTGAAGCTGAAGGGGGTGGTGTCTTCTCTCTTCAATTAGTGTAACCATAGCAGCAGCTAGCTCGAATTTTTGTTTTTTTGAATGTAGTTTTATCAGAATCTACAGGAGTAATCCCCCCGGTGATTAATCACGCAAGGCAAAGTTCAGTTTTCATGAATTAAAAAAAAGTTAAGTTTTCTAATCTCGTTTTTAAAAGTCATAGTTTGGTTTTCTTTCTAATTTCGTTTGTTCCCTTGTGTTCGACATAATGAGCATTTACTCTTCAACACTCTTCATGTCATGGAACATGGATGGTCAAAAGAACTCATCTGTCTTTAGTCTGGCGTGGCAGTTGATAACCTGTGCACACTTGCCTTTATCGGAACAATAGGGCCGTTATGHTCATTACTAAACTTGTTGAAGAGATGAAATAGAACCAAGGTATATCTTTTTGATCAGAGGTTGAATCGATCATCAGAAGAAGAATTAGGCCAAAAATTAGGATACATTCTGGGAAAATGAAACTTCCATGGAAGAGAAGCAAATGAAACGCTTTCATAAAAATTCTCTTAGAATCGAGAATGAAGTTTTCATTCTGTACATCTGTTGAATATCAATTTTCCTTTCTATGTCTATCCAAAGGCAGCCTAAGCCCTAATGTTCTGTTGGTTTTAATTAAAATGAAAGAAAATGCGTTTTTTTTAATTCTCGTTTTATGTAATTAAAATGAAAGAAAATGTCATTTCTTAATTCTTATACTATTACATTTTCCAACCATTCAATTTTATCTGCCAAGTTAATACTGAAGCCAAAACACCAGGAAGATCATGAAATGATTTCACTGAAGCCAACTAGATAAGGTTCAAACCCAGCCTGTGCATATCACGGTTTCAAATGGCTTGGACCCATGCTTAGCTAATTCTGTAATTCAGGATTTTTCCTGGGAACCTAACTCATAGGTTTGAGATCATGAGATGTAGTTCCGTCAATACATACACCATTGCTGGTAGGGCTGTAAATGGCATCCGGTTGTCATCCGTTTACAATTGGATCAAACATGAACTCACTATAATCGGATTATCAAAAAAATATCTGATATAATCCCATTTAAATATATGTACTCATAAATACTTAAAATTTATGTTGTATCAATTAGTAGAATTGATTTAAATGTATTTTATTAAATTTTAAATATATTCAAGTTTCAAGTAATTTTTACTTAAATAGTTTAACTTGTTTATTCAATATCCAATTGCAGTGCAAATTCGATTAAAATCCAACACAAAATCCAATGAATGAGATCCGGTTCGAATTTTTTTCAGCCTTTTGGACTGAGACATGATCCGCACTCTGCAGCAAGGTTCAAAGTATCGATACGATACGTATATCGACCGTATTGTATCGGTGCTTAGAAACAGCCAAATTTTTTTTTTTTTTTACTTTTTTTTTCAAATTTCAGTTTTTTAGGAAACTTAAAACGTGTTTTTTATTATTAAAAAAATTAGGGGTTTAGACTGTATCTTTTTCAAAAGATACGATATGATACGCCCGATACAGGGTGTATCATATCGATACTTTAAACCATGCTCCACAGGCATCGGGTTAAGCTTGGATGCCTAGGCCAATCATTAGATAGATCACAACTGCACCCCATATGCACATCTCAGTGTACATTAGGAACATCTCCCAAAATTGTCAGTGGGAGATGTTCCTACATGGTTGGGATATTTTGTGGGGTGCAGATGTGAATTCATCATTATATTTTTCTTTTCTTTTTTTTTTTTTGCCCTAATGAAGGAATTTGATCCCAGATCTCAGCTACAAGAGTAAGAGATATACCAATCGGCAACTGAGCCGCCATCAGTCGGTTGGTCCATGTCATTATTTGTCCCAGATCTCAGCTACAAGATTAAGAGATATACCAATCGGCAACTGAGCCACCTCAGTTAATTGGTCCATGTCATTATTTGGTTTTGAGCTTTTCTCTGCGGGCCTTTACAAAAATTGATGAGGGCTACCTTAAAAACCCGGATCTCTTGCCAACGAAAGACATTCCAACACCCTCCCAATATGATCTGACACCACACATCTCATGCATGGTGGGTCCTAGTCTCATAATAAGATGTGTGGTGCCGGATCATGTTGGGAGAATCTCCTGAATGGAATGTACATGAAAAAGTGGAGTAAACATGCCACATTAGCCATGATTAACCACCTGAATACACTGAAGATACATAAACATGCCACAGCTCGTTGACAAAGACAATTTATGAACAAGCAATAAACATTCCATTAAACTAGCATTATAGATATAACACTCTAGTTCATGACTGGTTTTGTATAGGTAGAATGTTATCTATAATATTACAGTAAACAATTCCATTAAACTTCAATAATAGTTTAGGAAACAAAGAAGTCAACAACAATGATTCCAATGGCAAGCAATAAACATTCCAATAAGCTTCAATAATAGTTTAGGAACGAAGAAATCAGCAACAATGATTCCAGTGGCAGTAAACATGCAATAAACATACCATTAAGCTTGAAGATAGTGTATGAAATGGAGAAAAACATTAAAAAAGGGGGAAAATATGGATCCATACATGCGATTCCGATGAGGACTGTGCTTCAGAAGACGATTTTTTGGTGGCAATGGTGATCGGAGATGGGTGACGGCAAAGCAAGAACCCATGGCAACAAAGAGGTTATGGCTTAAAGACGATAGGCGAATGGGAAAGTCTTGATTGGGGAATTTAATCGAAAGGGTGGTCACCCTTCACATGAAATGAAAGCAAAACTTCCCAAAAAGCATGGAATAATAAAAGTTTGGGGGTTTTGTGTTTTTAAAAGTATGAATGTTTAAGCATGAAGTATGCCATCCAAACACAATGTGGTGTTTTCATACTCCTGTACTTTCAATAGTATGAAAATACTTTTGAAATGTCTATCCAAAGAGGGCCTTAGATTCTAGCACTTTGCCTCTGATCAGTTGCCCATTCGAGATTCCATTGCCTGATAACAAAAATGATGAAAATGCTTATTGTGAAGTACAATATATCAAGATCAACCGCTTATTCATACTGTTGAAGATGAAATGTTTATTTAGATGCATTGGGGTATGAATCGCTACTATCCATTGTTCTTGTCCCGAGTAAGGTTGAAAGTATCAATACTTGCTAGCGGTAACCCATGCGATGCATGGTTGCTGTTTAAAAATGTATTTTTTAAGAAGAAAGAAAAGTAGCATTGATTCACCAAAGTTTTTATGTATTTTTATTTCTTTACATATAATATATATATATATATATTTCTTTTTTAGTTATTGAACTCTAAACTTAATCTTTTTTATATAGCTTATATATTATGAGAAGTACATAAATCAACTACTTAGCATGAAAACCAAATGATGGTGGTTCAGTTGATAGGTTCTCTAACTAGTTGCAATAGAGACTTGGACTTGGAATCAAATCACATTTGTCATTAGGGTTGTGAGTGGGATTGGGGGATGGGCTACCCTCATTTTGTACCCCTATAAAGGCAAAAAAAAGGTGATTAGTATGAGATTAATAACCAAAGCTTCACATTAAGTATGTGTTTGGAACCGTGGACATTTATTTACTAAATGTTTTGTACTTGATTTGTTTAGAAAACCGAGAAAAGCAATAATGAACCCATTTATTGACACTTAGGTGCCATTAGACACCACCTCAACAAAATAGTAAACAAACTCCTACCCATTGGGGGAAGCGCTAAAATGAAGCTTCCCCAACAATAGGCATGCACATAAACCAATGCCTACTCTTGCAAGTCCTTATGTGTACCGATTCACATACTGGGGGAAATGTAGTGGCGCCTATGTGGCAGTGTTTATTTAATAAATGCCTAAGGTTCCAAACACCATTTAAGTGCTTTCCTACTATATATTTTTTTTTATTAACCAAAATGTATTCATGAAACATATCTCCATAAAATTAATAAAAAAGAGAAAAAAAACTTGATAAACCATGAAAAGGAGCAATGGTCTCTTTAAAATTTTTATAAGAATATTGGTTTACCCCAAATACTAATGGACAAATTGAGTTTTGACATTAGCTTGGGTCCAAACTAGGGTTCACATTTAAGTTGGTCCTTAATCTAACCCAATCCATAAAATTTACACCCCTACTTTATTTGAAAGAGCCTAAAAAGATTAGTAAAGGTTTAAGAGGAAAGAGGGATTTAATGAAAATGGGGAGATGTTACAAACATTGACTATTAATGGAGGGGAATGGAGATATTTAAGAATTGTCTTATTAAAGAATAAATATGGATTTTATGAGAGGCAATAAAGACCCATGAGATTTTTGATTTTGACTTGTTATGGTTTTAATGGCATTATTTAAAAATAAATATCCATATGTGTAGAAAAGGAGAAGAGGGAGGAAGTAATACTGGACATCTACTGAAAGTTAGAGTTTTGAATTTACCCATTCCTAATGCTTGTTTAGTTCAGTCAGGAATCAAAATTAGATTCTGATTGTTGTTTGGTTCATTTAGAGTTTGAATCGGAATCAACTGAAAATTTTTAATTTTATATTAGTCTATTTATTATTTTATTATTACTTTATTAATGCTTAATAATTAATATCTTATTATTTATCATTAAATTTTGAACATTTTATTATGACTTTAATAATAATATTATTATTATAGTTTACTAATAATTTAGTATTTTACTATTACTTTAATTATATAATATTATATTTGTACTTAAGTATTATTAATTAATAAATAGTATTGTTGCTTGTTATTATTATTAGTATTTAATAATTAATATCTTAATGTTTATCTTTAATTTATGAGTACTTTATTAATATATTATTTATTATTATTGTTATAAAATATTATTATTATTATATTTTATTAATATTATATTATTTTCTTTATTATTTTTAAAATTAATTCATTATTATTTAATAATTAATATGTTATTATTTTATTAATTTAATTATAATATTATATTAATATTATTTTATTAGTATTTTAATAATAATTTATTATTATTCTAATTATTAATATATTATTGTTTTGTTATTGTTATCTTATTGTTACTTTCATAATATTTTATTATTTAGTTATTAATGTTTTATTGTTATTTCATGAATTATTTATTAATATTGTATTATTATTATTTATTACTTTGATTAATTGTATTAATATTTAATTTATTAGTTATTATTTATTATTATATTTAATAATTAATATCCTTGTTTGTTATTATTAATTTAGTAATATTTTATTATAATGCTA